ATAATAGGTCAGGCTTTGCCTCAGTTTCCTTAGGAAAACAATTAACACATAACATATAGCGCGTGATTATATACATATGGCATTTCAATATGAGATGCTTATGCACAAGGGAGAGGATTTCACACACACACACTACTAAGGTGTTACGTAAATTTGAACCTAAGATTACTATTTTATAATCCAAAACTCTTTCCACTAGGCTAAATCCGTGGACAACAAAACAACAATTTTAGTAACACTCCAAACAACATATTCAAAGCAATATTAAATGGGCTCATTCTTTCTTCTTTTCTTGGTGGTTTTTTTTTAAAAAAATTTTGTTTTATTTAAGGATAATGCTTCCCTCCTTGCCTAGTAATGTGGCACAATCACAAACTGACACATATCTCTTTTTGTTAAATCCTCAAAAAAAAAAATTCCTATTTTATTATTCTTAACTGAATTTTCATTTTCCTACTTTAGTTAAAATTTTAAGTATTTTCCTTCTTCTCTTTTTCTTCTTTTTAATGGGAAATAGGCTTTTTGGATCAAGCAAGCTTTGAGTTGTAAAAACCATAAAATATGAAATGAAAATACATATGAGTTTGGATTTGCTGTCCCCAAAACCATATACTTAACACTGTTAGCCTTGAAAGAATAAAAAAAAACAACAACAATTCCACTTGAAATTTTTTTTTCTACTCTTCTTCCACTACTACAAGAATTGGGCTTGGACACAATTTTTATTAGTGCTCTTCAATGCAAAAAACCACAGATATACGTGCTCTATGCCAATAACCACGCTGCAGCCACTTTTAAATGGTCGGTTGTCTATATAGAAGTTTCCATTGGTTACAGGTCACAAATTTGTCGTCAGTGTCCACCTTTGTAAAGCACAAAAACTGATCTTTGTGCTTAGTATTCTGACGAGCTAACTCAATTGCTTTATCATTTATCAAACCAAGCAAAATGTTAAAAGTTACATTTCGAATTCGAATATGTTTATTAATCAAATTTACAAGTTAACGCAATATCTAAAACATAATGTGAAACAATACAAAAAATAGTAAAGATAAGTTGTATAACAATAAGGATAACTAACTAGAGTTATGAAAATAATAAACCAAATCAAACAAAGATCAGATCCAAAAATCCAAAAAATAAATTCCAACCATCATTTGGACTCAATCCCCAGATGCAGAGGAGAGAGAGAGAGAGAGAGAGAGAGAGAGCAACAGCGAGAAAAAAAGAAAAGAATATTGAGAACAGTGAGAGCTCTAGGCACGGATTAAAGTTTTCCATGACTATTATCTAACTGTTTTAAACAATAGTAAATTGAGCTTAGACCCATAAAATTCATTTTAAATCACCTACAACCCTTTCCTTTAGTTTTCTATTTAAAATACCCAATTTTTTCAAATAATATCCGATGACTAGAATCCAACTAAGCAAGTTACCTAATATAACTTAAAATATGATTTATTGTATTTTTCGGATTCCAAAACTACCCTTGTTTATAAGTTAATGTGTTATGGGGGGTGTAACTAATGACACCCGTTGAATTTGGAAAGATCTCCAAATAGTTGTAATGGATGTAGGAACTATTTAAAAACTTATTTGAAATTAAATATTAAATTCCACATTAAAGTATCAGTAATCTATTTTACGACTAGTAATTTATTTTTGAATTAATGTTTTCCTTTTATGAATTACGACTAGTAATCTATTTAAAGTATTAGTAATTTAAATTCAATATTAAATTTAGGAATTAATGTTGTTGTCTTTTATGAATTATACGACCAATATTCTTTTTTATTATAGTTTTATGAATAATAGTGTACATTCTAATTATGTTGAAAAATAATTTGATAATCTATTTATTGTTTTTTTTTAACATTTTTTAATGACCTTTTTTTCTCCAAATATTGTACTTTTTCTTTTTTTACTTGTTTTATGAAAAATAATTTGATCATCTTTTTATTGTTTGTTTTATGAAAACAATTTTTTTTTAAATGAGCCTATTTTCTCTCTCAAAATAATGTACCTCTTTTTTTTCTCTATAATGTACCTAGTAAAACAATTTACCTAGTATAATGAACCTATTTTTTCTTCTCTAATAATGTACCTTTTTTTTTCTAAATAATGTACCTTTTTTTTCTCTCAAAATAATGTACCTAGTAAAACAATTTATCTAGTATAATGAACTTATTTTTTCTCTAAATAATGTACCTTTTTTTTTCTCTAATAATGTATACCTAGTAAAACAATTTACCTAGTATAATGAACTTATTTTTTCTTCTAAATAATGTACCTATTTTTAATTTATAAAAAATATGCATAAATTTCAATTATACAACGTACCTATTTTTCTATAAACTATTGTGTACCTATTTTAATTTATGAAAAACGTGCGGAAATTTCAAATTTAGGTAGATCCCACATATTATCCGTCCTTTCCTTTCCTTTCTTTTCTTAAACATGTCTCATCTTTTTATTTAATACATTATCTCTTATGCCTTTTTTTTTTTCTTTTTTTTTGCTTTTTGATCATAAGGGATGAAAAGTAAAGTTTGGTCTTAGTCCAAGGACCATTGCTATCATTTTGCCTTTATTATATAAAACTCAACATCACTTTGATCGCGTTCTTTTAGTAAGGTCATTTTTAGTCATGGGCCATAGACCAAATATAGCCATAAACTAATGCAAAATCCATTTCCGAAAATAAATTGGCCGAATTTGGAAGGGCGCACATTTAGTCCATTAGCCCTTCAACTAGATTACTTGTAGCACAGTTATAGCCCAGGCCAAATTTTTTTCTGGGCTCAGCGCATGTGCTTTCCAAGAAAAGAAAGTATCACGCGAGAGCGTGAGCATGAAACATCTCATGCAACCGCTGGTGGACCTAGGAATTTTTTAGCATAGGTGAAATTTTTAAAGGCAAAAAGCCTAAAAGAAAAAGGATTGGGCTATAATTTATGTAGTACGAGAATCAATGTCAAATCATCAATTAATATAACGAGAATCAATATCAATTAATCTAACGAAAATTAATATCAAATTATCAATTAAACAAACAAATAATAAATAGTGCTCTCATAACTTGAATCTCATCACCTTATTTTAATATGCGTGCTTTTATTTATCGTTTTTAGTTAATTAATTAATCAAATCTCATCATCTGGTCGTTCAAATAAAGTCTGAGGTTAATCACAATAGGTACTTAATAAATTTAACCACTCTTCGTGGGAACGATACTTTACTTAACTCTAAACTACTTGTGTGATCCTTACGCTTGCGAAATTGCTCAACAAATACTCAATTACTTTAGTCAATGTTAATTCCAAGTATTTTTTTTTTCCATTTTGAGTATCTATTACTATGCTTAATGCTTTGAATGTTTGGCCAACATTTAATTGTTTTGATGCTAAATTGACGATAGGGATATCCAATTTAGAGTTTGCTTCTTGTAATAGTTGTCATAGGTTACATGATTAGACAGGGATGTTTGTCATGACATACCTCGAGTCTTGTGCCACATAGCCTCTTCTTATTCGAGTTTGCTAATCATACAAATACAAAGATGACCAAATCAGAAATAATAGTAATAATTATTACTATTACAATAAACATGTTATAAAGAAATAATAAATAAAAAAAATCAGAAGAAATGTTGGGTGGTTGCTGAAGAAGAAAAACAAAAAATCAGACCTTGAATCAAAGCTCTTATTAAGCCTCGAGTACCAGACCTTTATTATTATCATATCAATAATTATCATCAATTCAACGCAAGGCTTGGGATAGGGTGATTGTTGGTTTGTTGGTACATACATCTTTTCTTCCCCCCCCCTTTCTTTTTTTTTTTTTTTTTTTTTTTTTTTTTTTTTTTTTGCCCTTTTTTGGGGATTTGTTTAGTTTTTTATTTTATTTTTATTAAATATTTTTGAAAAGAGGTACTTGTCAGTAATCAATTAGTTCTAGGTCGTTTTTTTGGAAAAACAAAGTCTTGGTCAGTCAATGCCCCTGTTCATAAACTTCACGAAATTGCCTAGTACTCACTGGCGGACCCAATCACAGAAACTGTGGGCAGCTGCCCACACTTAAAAAGAAAACCTTCAGCCGTATAGTTCCATTTAAATTCACAATTTTTAATTATTTTTAAGTCCTTTCCAAGTAAAGGCCCCACATGCCCATTCCTTACACACTAAAAGTCCAAAACTTATATTAATATTGTAGAGAACTCAGCCACCCAACTTGACTTAAAGTCCAAACCGCCCAACTTGACTTAAAGTCCAAAACTTATATTAATATTGTAGAGAACTCAGCCGCCCAACTTGTTATTTATTATATATATCATGATGAAAAATAATATAAACTATTTATGACAGTTATGAAAAAATATTTTAAAAGAAAACAACACATGCGTCAATGCTAATATTCAAAGTTTGAAACAACACATGATGCACAGAGATAAACGAAAGTCTGGGTCCGCCATTAGCCCACAGCTTTTTCTCACAGATCATCCTTATTCTCTTCATCTGATGAAGTTTTATTGACCCAAGAGAGAAAACAAAAAAAGGAAAAAGGACAAAAAGATCATCCCTATTCTCTTATCTTCTTGCAATAGCGTGGTAAGTGTGTTTACAAGTTGAAGCATAATTTCCTGATGAAATAAATATATATATATATATGTAATCTCTCTCCCTCACTATCTACGTTCAAAGGCTTCTGTATAATAGTATCTAAAGCACTTAGGTTCAAAGGCTTCTCCCTCACTATCGACGTTATGTCTTTACAGCGCCGTGATGATCATCTGACCAAAACCATAAGGTTAGTTTTTGCAAGATGTAGCCTTTTGATAATATAAGATGATTATTTGGCGTGCCCCACTGAGTATCATCTCACTTTCTACGATATCGTAATATATTTTAATTGACTTGTCATTTGATGTTGGGTTAGATATACTCTAATTTGTTAAGTCTTGACTTACCTCAATTTTCTGATTGCACTTTTCTTTTAATTAGCGACGCACCAGGTAAACTGGCACGATGTCTCCCATCAGATTCATTCTGGAACATGATGATTGTAATTTCATGTGTTATTGCAATTTCCCTAGATCCCTTGTTCTTATACATTCCATTCATCGATGAGGGAAAGAGATGCCTTGGAATGGACACAAGGTTGTGGAATGTGGCACTGATTTTGCGATCTCTAACGGATATCACTTTCGTGGTGGATATTGGATATCAAATCTATGAAGGGCTTAATCAAGCCTACAAGGAGATCAACGGAAGGAAGTCGGACTGGCAAAAGGATTGGCAACCGACGTTAATAAGAAGAGATGAGATAATTCCATTTGCTAAGATTTTCGCTCGGGATTTGACGTGGTGTCCTTTGGTGACTGACCTTCTCTCTGCTTTTCCCATGCCACAAGTAATAAGAGAAACGCAAATTTTTGGTGTAAATTATGAGCTGTAGACAGCTTTAATTACTACGGACTTCTAACCCATTACTATTATTCTTTTGTGCAGCTTCTAATGAATGTTTTTTTCAAAATGTGGTGGTCGGGATATTCAGAACCGAGAAAGATTGTCAATTTTTTTCTTCTCATCCAATATCTGCCAAGAATTTATCGAATTATCTTAGCTTCTTCCGAACTTACAAGGACCATCAAAATATGGATCAAATCTCTATTCAATTTCTTTTTATACCTTCTTGCTAGCCATGTGAGTTTCACTTCCATATTTTTTCATTTTACTACGGACTTATTTTGGTAATTGATAAATGCTTGATGAAGCTTAGTTTGATTTACAATAAACGCATGATTGGAAAGTGACTACTGATGACGTAGAGGGAGTCTAGGTGTCAATACAATTTCTCTCTCAATAAATTATCATATCGATGATTAATGCTTAGACCTATCAATTAATTAATTATGTTGTCATAGGTTATTGGAGCCTTTTGGTACTTCTATTCCATTGAACGAGAGACCTTATGTTGGCACCAGGCTTGTCAAAATCAAATAGATCCCGAGAGATGCATGAGTACCTTTTATTGTGATCGTGACAATTCTGCCCAACCAAATATCACATTTTTTGATGAACATTGCAACATAGATGTTCCATACAATGCTACAGAGCCGTTTAAGTATGGAATATTTCTTGATTCGCTTAAGTCTGGTATTGCGGGGAATAATTATGATTTCCACACGAAGTTATGCTACTCTTTCTGGTGGGGTCTGAGAAATTTGAGGTTTGCTTGCACATGTATATCTATTTTAAAATTTCACCATTTTATTTTGTATCCTCTATTAATCAAATATATATTTTTTATACTAGATAAATACAAATAAAAATAAGGAAGATTCACTAACAATTTGTTTGTATGTCCTTAATCACCATTTGGTCACTATTATATCAAATATAGGGGCCCAATTATTAAAAAAATTCAACATAAAATGAACTGTAATAACACACCAAAAAATCCATTTATAACATAAGAAAGAGCCTTCAAATTTCCTATAAATTATCAAAATGTCATCGATTTCTTAAAACAAGCCCAACCCCCAAAACCTCATACAAAAATTCAAAACCCTCAATAGGGCATCAAAGTAATTTAATAATCAAAATAAAATTCAATAGGGTCATCTGTCATTTAGTGTTTGTTTATAAATATTAAATGGTATAAGGTTTATTTATATCACTAATGCTAAAAATGGATATATAACTAAATATCTCATTAAAAAAAAGTCTTCAACATAATATGATTCCTATTGTATATGATATATATTAAATATGACTACTTTTCCTTTTATGTGGTAACTACTTACAAGGAGGATCCTTTTAGGAATCCCCCATTACTTTTATAACTACTTTCTTCTGCCATTCATTAGTATCTCACATTTTGCTTGGTCCTTTACTTACTTTTTGCAGCAACTTTGGCACGAATCTCGCGACAAGTCATTCTATGTGGGAAAACTTGTTTGCAATTCAAATTTCTCTCACTGGCTTGCTATTATTTGTATATCTCATTGGAAATGTTCAGGTTAGTAATAAATCTCTCTCTTAGATATCTATTTAGTTTACTTTCAATTACTTTACTTCAGCTTCAGGGGCGAACCTCTATCTTACGTAAATGTACCTCAATTTGAAATAACAGAATAAACGTAAATGTGAGGTTTACTAAGAATTTTATTTCAACTATTTGAGTTGTCTGCCTTCGTCCTTCTTAAAAAATTAGACCTTGAAAACCACTGAGGCATCAAGTTTGGACTAACAGAATAAACAAACACAATGCTTTAAGAAAACACTAAAATGATAATTATTAATTCATTGGTCAAATGGTTTTGAAATTAAGTGATTTTTTACATAAATTTTTTCTGTAGCAATACTTAAAATTAGATGTTCGGATCATTGATATACACTTCTAATTTACTATTTGTGCTTAAATGTACCTTCAGACATTCATTCAGATGAGAACCACACAATCTGAGGAAATTAGGAAGAAGATTGAATTTAAAAAAGAAGCGACAGACATGTGGATGGAGAAAAATGCCATTCCTGATGATGAAAGGAAGGAAATCAGGAAAATGATAAAAAGAAGCGACAGACACCTGGAAGGGGACAAAGATTCTGTTTTGGAAAATCTCTTCAATGTTGTTCCCGGTTATATGCAAAAATTCCTAAAGCATTTTCTCTGCATGAAAATTCTAAAAGAGGTATCTCTCTCTCTCTCTCTCTCTCTCTCTCTCAAGTATTTGTTCGTATATTATTTATTAGAAAAGAAAATTTTGACTACCTAAGAAGTACATGAGTTGGCTTGGCCTTCCATCACTCATACGCATCATTTGATGGTTCAGTTTGGATTAGATTGAGGCAAAGGCAGTTCTTATAAGTCTCACTCTTATATGAGACTTTTAATATATTGGATTGTTATCCTATTTAAGATCCAACACTTAATAAATTTACCAAAGAGAAACCAGGACATTAGTCCAATTTACAAGGAATTAATTTATATCGTTGAACTTATATAGATGAAGGAATCTTGCTTTGTGTTTAAACATCGATCAATTTTTAATGTACAGGTTGATCTCCTTCAACTTATGGATGACAGTGTGCTGAAAATGATGTGCGACTGTCTGAAGCCAGTGACGTACGCAGTAGATCACATCATATTTCCAAAGGAGCACCCAATTGATCGCATGCTTCTCATTATAGAAGGCACTGTATTGACCTACAGCATAACTCCTATTCCTAGCCTTACACCTGGTGAAGAAAAAGATTCTGGTGCTGCCCCATCCCCATTCCCCATCAATGGCCACCAAGCAACTTGGGAAAGGTGGTGTTTATGGAGAAGAGCTTCTGACGTGGGCATCGCCCAAGAAAACTGGGATTGACAACCTTCCTACCAGCAACGAATATGTGAAATGTCATACAAAAGTAGAAGGCTTTGTTCTCTCAGCCCAGGACTTGCTAAAGGTAGTCTCCAAATCCAAACAGTTGTGGAAGTTAAACATAGGCCCTTGATCTCCCTCGCAACTTCTCCAGCGGCTGGTCCTGGACATTATGTACGGATATCCAGTTTTTATTTACTTGTGTTTTTGAGTGCTTGTATCGTACTTATGCTGTAAACTGCTTCCATAAAGAAGAAGAACATCAACTTGAAATTAAATCTTGTATGTCGCAAACAGTTTGAGGTTTATGTTGCAAGGTTTGCATGCTTTTTAATTTAATTACATAAATCAATAATAATGCAGTCACTTACCCCGGGGTAACTTGGTCAACTTAATTCAATAAATGAAGAGGATAATAATAATGCAACTTACTAAACTAAATTGATTTATGACAAGTTGTTGTTTATAGGAATAGGATTAATCAAAGAAAAATTGTACGCATCAAGCAACTTTGTCTAAATACGCTTTTTTTAATTCAAAAAGAAGAAGTCTTCCCAACGGCAATCACATCTCGAATTTCATTCCATATTAATAATGCAGTCATTCTCCAAGAAGCCAATTGCTCATACCGTCTAATTTTATGTTAAATTTAACTTAATTTTAGGATAAATAATGACCAATTTGCTCTCATATTTAACGGAAATATTGATAGAATGTAACGGTAGGATCAATGGAACAAATAATATAGAGTTGATGGACCATTTGAACGAATAATTTAATTAAGGGACCAAAATGTAAATCGAGTATAAGTTTGAGAACCATTTGAGTAATTTACCCATACTCTAAAGAAAATGGTGGCTTAATGTTACAACAACAACTCGCTAGTCAAGGAGGCTTTGTGTAGACAGCAAAAAATTACACTGCAGAAGAACTTGGGAAGGCCACAAACAATTACCATGAAAGTATAGTCCTTGGAGAACGAGGCTATGGAATAGTTTACAAGGGAGTATTGCTAGATAACAAAGTGGTTGCCATAAAGAAGTCCAAAATTTTTCATACCCAGAAGGAGCAGTTTGTTAATGAGTTGATTGTTCTTTCTCAAGGCGACCACAGAAATGTGGTGAGGCTATTGGGTTGCTGTTTAGAGACATCTGTGCCTTTACTAGTTTATGAGTTCATCACCAATGGTACTTTTTTTTTACCACATCCATAACAAAATGGCGAAGGATCATCGTTTTCCTTGGATTTGCCTTTGAAGATTGCAGCAGGAGCACTAGCATACTTACATTGCAAATCACACACCGAGATGTGAAAGCAACAAACATACTGTTAGATGACAATCACTCAGTTAAAGTGTCAGACTTCGGCACTTCACGATTGATCCCTTTGGATACTTAGACCCTGAATACTTCCTTACAAATAAACTAACTGAAAAAGTGACGTTTATAGCTTTGGGGTCGTTCTTGTAGAATTACTAACAAGCAAAATGGCACTTTCTTTTGACAGGCCAGAGGAAGAAAGAAATCTTGCGAACTCCTTTGTTCGTTCGATGGAGGAAGACTGCTTGAACCAAATTCTTGATGATAGCATATTCAATGGTGGAAACATTGAAACAGTTAAAGGTCTGGCGAATCTTGCAAAAAGATGTTCAAGGTTAAAAGGGGAGGAAGGGCCTATCATGAAAGAAGTAGCATCGGAGCTAGAGGGAATGAGAGTTACGGTGAAGCAGCATGCATGGGGAAATGCTGATCTCTGTCTAGAAGAGACTGAGTACTTGCTGGGGTCACCAATTCATTCAGAAGCTTTTAGAATCTGTTCGTCTCTAACAAACACTACATTACATACAAGAAGTTGTCCAATTAACACAAGATAAACTAATTAATAAACTGCATGCAGTATAGACTAATTGCTACATCAAAACGATTTGCATGAAATTCAAGAGACTGGCAAAAGGAAATTGATCTATAGCATGTTACTTGTTTATGCTTAATCGATGGTTTTGCACAATTATACATGTTACTTGTATAGATGGTCAATTAGTTCCTGTTTCGAGATTTACTAAATTGCATGGGGTATTCTGGTTGAAAGAAAGCGAATGGCATCCGTAAATCAGAAGGAAACAGACTTCAATCAGCAAAAAGTTGCTAATCTTACTTTAATTGACGATTTTGATCTTTCGCTGCGGTTTGTGACGGTTTCATGATCTTCAGTGACAAAATTAAAGGTGAGAATTAGCCGCGGTTTTTCTCGTCACAAAGCGCAGCTAAAGAGCTTCCGCTACGGTACCAGGAAAACCGCCGCTAAAAGTCGAAAGCAGTTTTTAGTTCCAACCGACCACTGACAATTGTTGAAATTTTAAAATTTCATTTTGTTGGTGTTTTATGAAAATTGTTGGGCATATATATATATATACATTTCTAAGGTGTAGATATTGTTGTGGTAAATGTTTAAATATATACACATATTTTGTCGTAAATTACAGGAGAATAAAGAAAATATTCGCTATCCATCTATAAGCAAAATATAAATCACCACATAATTGCTTTCCTCAGTGGCTTGCACGTAAATGCCCACAAGCTCACTCGGGTTTTACTTAGAAAAATTGAGTTTTATTTGTAGAAAAATAAAAGGATGACTTGCAGATGGGTAAGGCAATATGAATTTTAAAGGGAAAATCCAAATTTACTTTATTTTTTAAAATAATATATTTGATAGTGAGAAATCGAGTGTTCATAACAAATTGTAGCCAAGCAGAAATACATATTTAACTTTTAATTATGTAATAAATCCATAAATTTTTTTTTGCAAATTTGAGTCCCTGTGTTTTTCAAGTTCGAGAGAAGAGTTTAATATATCACTTTCCCTCTTGAACAACAGAAAAACGTGCACATATATCGAGAATGGAACCATGTTCCTAGGTTCCTCTTTATTATATGCGATAATGATTTATAACAAATTACTTGTAATATTGCTAAAGAAACTGTGTTTGCAAAATAATTTCCGATTTTATTATCGTTGTGAATATATGGTCCTTTGTGAAATATTTTTCTGGTCAAAAGTACAAATTCTATTTCTGCTTTTGGGTCAGATTTGTTGCCAAATAAAATTTGTTAAATTAAACGTTAGATATATCTATCTCACGCAAAAACTTATATGTAGTACTACATCTAGTCATTCCATTTTTTCTTTCTCGTATTTAATCACAAATCTGATTCGAGGATTTTATCATTCGTACATGCGTATATTAATTTACTATATATAGAAACTGAACTATTTTGCATCATATTGTTGAGAAGTTTTGCTTTGAGGTGTAACGATTCTACTATTTGGGAGGAGGAAGCACCTTCTTGATTCGAGACTCATCTTCATGAAGATTTTGGTTGTAACTCTTTCTTGATACTATTGATTTGCATGCAATTAATGTAGCATAGAGAATTATGATTATAAATAGTAAATACTACCAAGAAGTGAGCGAAGAAAAGCCACCTTGTTGTAGAAAAATACCCTAGAAAACAATGAAGGTACCACTACTCGCCATTCTCTGCGTGTTTTCGCTCTCAATATCAAGGGCAGCTTCCGATAATCCATTTCTCAATGACTTTCTCCAATGCCTTCCACAAAAATCTGAGCCCACTTACCCGATCTTTGACGCCATTTACACTAAAGAAAATAGCTCGTTTCAATCAGTTTTGCTGGGATACATAAGAAACAGAAGATATTCAACCCCTACAACTCCAAAACCTTTGGCTATCGTAGCAGTCAAGCATGAATCTCATGTCATAGCAACCGTGATTTGTGCGAAACAACACGGGTTGCAAATTAGAATCCGAAGTGGTGGCCATGATTATGAGGGCCTATCATACGTATCGCATGTCCCCTTTGTCATTCTTGACATGTTTAATATGCGATCCATCGAAATCAATGTCACAGATGAGAGCGCTTGGGTTCAGGCAGGAGCTACAACTGGTGAACTTTATTATGAAATTGCAAATAAAAGTAAGGTTCATGGGTTTCCAGCTGGAGCTTGTCTAAGTCTTGGTACTGGTGGTCACTTTAGTGGTGGTGGCTATGGGTACATGATGAGAAAATATGGGCTCTCAGTCGATAACATTGAAGATGCTAAAGTAGTTGATGTGGATGGGATAATTCTTGATAGAAAGTCCATGGGAGAAGATAGTTTTTGGGCCATTAGAGGAGGCGGTGGAGCAAGCTTTGGAGTCATTTTGTCATGGAAGATCAAGTTGGTTGCAGTTCCAGCCAAAGTGACTGTGTTCAATGTTAAGAGGACACTAGAACAAGGAGCTACAGATATCATTTATAAGTGGCAATTCGTAGCACCAAAGCTGCCTCAGGACATCTTCATCAGAGCCATGCCGCAAGTGAAGAACAATACTGAGGGCAACAAGACTGTGGAAGTATCCTTCATTGGTCACTTTTTGGGACAAAGCGGTAAGCTTCTTCCGTTGATGAATGAGAGATTCCCGGAATTGGGTTTACAACAAAAAGATTGTTTTGAAATGAGCTGGGTAGAATCCACTGTTTTCTGGGCTGACTACCCTGTTGGAACTCCCCTAAAAGTGCTACTTGACAGGCCAAAGGGCCCAACAATGTTCTTCAAAGTTAAGTCTGACTATGTGAAAGAACCAATTTCGAAACAAGGAATAGAATCCATATGGCAGATATTACTCGGGATAGAGAAAGTGTGGATGCAATGGAACCCCTACGGTGGAAGAATGAGTGAGATTCCTGAGTCAGAAACACCATTTCCTCACAGAGCTGGAAATATATTTGCGATTCAGTATTGGTTGTTTTGGGTGGAACAAGGGGCTGATACCACCAACAAGTACATTGACTTGTCAAGAAAATTGTATCAAGGAATGACTCCATTTGTCTCCAAGAGCCCAAGAGAGGCTTTCCAAAACTACAGAGATCTTGACATTGGCGCTAATCTGGATAATCAGACTGGATTTGAAACTGCTAAAGTTTATGGAAGCAAATATTTTAAGGGTAATTTTAATAAACTGGTACTTGTGAAAACTGTCATGGATCGTCAAAACTTTTTCAGGCATGAACAAAGCATCCCACCTCTTTAGAGGGCAGGAAAGTGACAAGAAGATAGAATAAGAACCACAGTATGCTCATGATATATGGGCTAGCTTCGATAGTAAGCTCATGACATATGTATATAGGCAAGCTTCGATTGCTAATATTATGTCATACTGAAAATTGAGTATTTATTTATACAAGTCTCGATACAAAATAAAAGAAAATAACGGATTTAACTCTTAATTATGTAATACATCCATACGTTTATGCATAATATTGTACTATGTCTGTGTTTGGAATATTGCGAATAAGTGGCCCAAGATGTTCTTACAGTAAACTTCCATAATTCGATGTGGTAATCAAACATATATGAATTAGAGATCTTCACTTTCCCTCATTGAACAACAACAAACATGTTTACTAATCTATAATGGGAATTAAAATAAGGAATTGGATTTCGATAACGGATTACTTCACATAAAGAAATGAAAATGCAAGCGGAGCCCATATAAAATAAAAAATTCAACTCCTGGTTTTGGAGGAATTGAACTTTTGGGTGTGAGGTGGTATTCTAATTTCTGAAAAATTAACCCATCATGAATCCATCTTTTTTTTCCCCCCATTATATTCTCACAAAATTTTTAAAATTCAAAATTTGCCATCAACTTTAGGGGTAGGCGTGGTTCGATTTGGTCTGGTTTTTCCCTCGAATTGGAACCGAAATTATTTAAGACCCGTGTCTTGGGGAAACAAGAACGGTGAGCAATCCCACATCACTCGAGGAGGGAAAGGTGAAGTGCCTTATATGTGTGGGCACTTCTCTTCCTAGCAAGAGACCTTTTGGGCAAGATAGCTAGCATTAGCTTGAGCCCAAGAACAAAACTGTGAGGGGGGAGGCCTAAAGCGGATAATATCTTGCAAGGGAAGTTGGGTCATGACGAGGACATTAGATAAAATTGGAATGATACAGAGAAGATTAGCATGGCCCTAAGGGGGGTGGATTGTGTGAAGTGCCTTATATGTGTATGGACACTTCTCTTCCTTGTAAGAGGCCTTTTGGGCATTGAAACTTACACACAGTACAATTCAATTCAATTTTCATAGAAATTGTTTAGAATAACCGAACCAAATTGGACCTATGCGATTCTAGTCCAATTCAGCCAATTTTAGGTTGGAAAGATAAAAATATGAAGATGTGAAGAAGATAGAATTGGGAAGAGAAAAAGAGGTATAAGAGAGAAACAAAGGTGGAACCATGAATTTTTCAACTAGTGGGCTAGCTAAAGTTATTAATTACCTTAAAATCTTTTATTTTTATTTTTTTTACTTCCAGTTTCTATAGTCTTTCTAGAAATAAAAGTATACATTAAATCATATAAATCATGCTAGTTCATAATTTCATTGACTAATTTTCAATACCTTTTTTTTTCTTTTTATACAAGCGATATTTGTGGAGAGGGAAATCAGACCTAGGACCTCGAGTGCATGGCTAAATGCTAATTTCCAATAAGGTTTAACATAAAACAGATAAATATTAATGAAACCATAAAGCACATATTATAAAATGAAAAATATATTCGACAACACAATTGAAAGTGTACCTATTTTATTGTGTATTTTAATTGATTTCTTGCAACTAAACTCATAAAGAATTGGACTTTTTTGGACTAGTAATAGGTTAATATATATTAGGTTATGTTTAAAACAACTCAAATATACAGGTTTTATATTTTAATCCCCAAAACTCCCCCTAGGCTAAGCCTACCTTAGTCATTAAGGTAGTTCTACCCATGGAGAGAAAGAGGTGAAGAGATGAAGAGAAAGATAATAGAAAGAAATACGTGGAACAGAGAGAAAGATGGAAGCTCAACAAGAACAGGTATGGTTCACTGAAAAGTAAAAGAAGTTTCTAGTGTTGTTATTGAATTGGGTATAAATTGGAACTAAGATATTTGGGTATTAATCAGGCTAAAATATTAAGATATTAATTTGAGTTGCTAATGTTATTTGAATATTAATTAAGTTTACTACTAATTTTGGATATAAATGAATAAGTAAACTTAACATAACTGGTTCGGTTAGATTTAAAATGGTTTTTAAGGATTAGTGGCGTCTTGCATTGAGAATGGGTTTTGGTTAGCGCTTTAGTAGATTGAGAAAAGGGTTTGAAAATAGATGGGTGCAGTGTCGAACTTCTTGTGGGCTTGCTGCGCCCACCATTATCGAACTTGTTGAATGTCTTTTAATTCTTTTACTTACAAATGTCTACAATGAGTTGAATCTTCAGTTTTGTTTGCAAAATTATCTTCTTAAGATTGCCATTAAGGAAACAGAGGAATTGTATTCTGGTAACAAGGGGAGAGCACGCATAACATAATTGATTTTGAGAACATTACTTGAATTGACAAGAAAACGAGAATATGTCCTTAAGTCTTAAGTTTAGGCTTCAAGAATTCGACCAAAAGAGTTAATTTATCATCTATACAAGTACCATATTGTATAACTGTGCAATACACTATGGTACTTGTATATATTATAAATTAACTCTTCTTTTGGTTGAAAGAAAGTGAATGACATCCGTAAATCAAAAGGAAAGAGACTTCAATCAGAAAAACGTAGCTAATCTCATTTTTAATTGACAGTTTAGATCTTTCGCTACGGTTTGTGACTGTTTCGTGACATTTGGTGACGAAATTAAGGTCTCAATTATGCAAAATATATTTAGCTGCGGTTTTTTTCGTCGCAAAGCGCTGCTAAAATATCTTCGGCGACGGTTTATAAAAACCGCCGCTAAAAGTCAAAATTAGCTTTTAGCTCCGGTCCCCTATTTAGTGGTGTGTTATTTTTGAATTTTTGAAATTTATTTAGTTTGTGTTTTATGAAAATTGTTGGGCATATACATAATCTAAGGTGTACAAATTGTTGTAAATGTTTATATATATATATATATTTACATATTTTGTTGTAAATTTGGGGAGAAGAAACAAAATAGCCGCCATCCATCGTATAAGCAATTGTCTGTAAATGACCACATCGTTTGCTGTCCTATATATGGCTTGCATGTAAATGCCCACAAGCTCACTAACAGTAGTACGATTAGCTTGCTAAACAATACCACCATTGGAAAGCAAAAGTAAGTCAACGAAGTTTAAACATCAAATGCATTGTAGCCAGAGTCAGGAAAGATAGCATGAATGAAGTTTAAACATGCTCAAGTCAATTATTTGTGCACTATGATTTGGTAATAAGACATGATGAACTTAAAGTAATTTCCTTCCCCCTTCTCTGCCAATGACACTTAATGTAACGTTCATCCCGTTTCATAAACTTCATATGCCCAAGGTCACAAGAATACGGTTGATACGTTTTCCTGGCTGCAATACCAGTGTTTTGTTGCTCAAAGATAAATCTGATCCAATCTTGAAATAGAAAAGTTTGAAGGAGGGCATAATTAAGGAAGTCTCTAAAACTAAATTCATAGAAGATAGCTTAAACATAAGGAATAATTCTACCACTAAACTATGGTCGTTAATAGGGATCAATATTCCACTCCCCAGACCATATTTAAGTTTATAACCCTAACTTCTTGTATCCTTCTATTGGACCAGACACAGATAAAACCCCACGAGGAAGGTAACTTCCATATATACATACAAACGAAGTGTTTTAACTGAAATTCAAACTCATAAGTGGAGGCTGGAGCACAGAAAATCAATCAAAGCTCCACACAGTTTAAAATGAAGTTTTTAATGGATCAATAATAAGATCTACCTCAGAGATTAGCGAAGCCTTCTGCAAGTGATTAAGAAAACTAGAGGAGCTTGAAACGAGGGTTTTAACATGAGTGCTTAAAGAAAGAAAAAAGTACGGCACCATGTGGTCAATTAATCCCAACATCAAATACATTATAGCAATACCACAATTAGAAATCAAATGTATGTCAATGCATGTATACACAAACATCAAATACATTATAGCAAGACTATGGAAGATAGCAGAAAGAAAGTTCATACACTTTCAACTCAACTATATGCGTACATTAAGACATGATGCACATAAAGTAATGTCCTCCCCCTTCTGTACCAATGACACTTAATGTAATGTTCTTCCCCTTTGACATACCCTATGACAACTCTTGGCATCAACTTTTAGATGCCTAAAACGCATCACCAGGACATAGTTACGTATATGTTTCCCTAAGATAAATGTGATCCAATCTTGAAATAGAAAACTTATATGAGGACATAATTAAGGAAGTGTCTAAAACTAAAGTCAAAGAAGATAGCTTAAACAGAAGGAATAATTCTTCCACTAATTTTTAGTAGCTACTAGAGATCAAGATTCCACTAAGAAGGTGACTTACATAATTGGAAGTTGGAGCCCAGAGAATCAATGTTATCCCCCATAAAATTTAGAATGAAGTATTCAAATAGATCAATAACAAGATTTACCTTAGTGATTAGCCAAGCCTTCTCCATGTGATTTAACAAAAGTAGAGGAGATTTCATACAACTCTACCACCAAAACTCAAACGCCAAAAACCTTTGAACCGAGGATTTTAACACGACTGTTTAAAGAAGAAAAAAAGCTTGGCATGTGGTCAGATTAATCCTAAGTTCTTTTTTTATTTTATTGGCCTGCATCACTCTCCCGACTTGTACTCATACATCTCCATTGAAATAATTCACAACTGTTATCACTCACTCTATTAGGCATTTCATCCCTTCCAAAACCATGAAAACAAATTACATAAATCTTAAGATCGTCGCATGAAATAAATCTTAGTTACATGCCAATCATTTCATTTACAGATTGTTTCCGATCAACTTTTGAAAAAATATGCAAACTTTGATATTTTACAGAGCGCGATGTATGGAAATAGAAAGACAAAAAATGAAGATGCAATTTTCAACCAATTAGATATCCATTGTAAACACCAGTGTTTACCTTCTCTTTAGTAACTCGACAGAGGTTCCACGGCGGCTACGGTAGTGCGAGCGACGACGTCGTCTTGGGAGTTAGGTTTAGGGATTTTCTCTTATCGAATTGATTTGGGGATTTTTGCCGTGGTAACCGCAATCAATTTCGCTGTAAGCAATGGGTCGGGTTATAATCAGATTTGGGCCCTTCGAGTCTTGTTGTGGTCCAAAGATGTGGCTGCCCATTGAAAGTCAAACTGTTGACCTCGACATAACTTTTATCCTTCATTTTTTTCATTGTTTTTGTTTTTGTTTTATCCATTTTTGTTTTCATTGTCATAAGGTTCTAAGTTTGAGTCTCTCTCTCCATAATTAGATTAATTTAGAGTAGTTTAGATTATTACTTGTATTAAAATAAAATTTTCATTTATATATATATAAAAATAAACATTTTCTCGTAAAAATTGTTTACATAACAAAATAAATAAAAAATGCTTGGTCACAAGCAGGAATTGCTATGAAATGATTTACTCAACATTATTGTTTATCATTCTAGCCATAAACTAATTGCTACATCAAAAGGATTTGCATGAAGTTTTAGGTGGGGGACATTCTGCTCCCGCTGGTTCTCCCTCCCTTCCCGGCCCTAATACAATACAACCCATTTTATCGCTCACCGAAAGCATTTACCTTATCCGCATTTACCTTATCCGGTTACGTCAAATAAAACCCTTCCTTACTGGCCACGGTTTGTGGAAATATGTTGATGGTACCTATCAGCCACCCACACCCACCACCACAACCAAAACCACCACTACTCCTTCCTCCGACTCGACTCTTTTGATTCCTCCTCTACCACTACTTTCCCTTGAGCCTAATCCTGAATTTCCTGCTTGGAACTAACGGGATCAGCTGGTGGTACTAATATATATATATGTTTCAATATTTCCTGCTGAATTTCCTGATGTTGGGCTCTCCTTACTGTCTTTCAGATATTGATGAGTGCAAGGATTCAAACCCCTGCCCTATCGGAACTTGCAAAAATTTATTGGGAAATTATTCTTGTTAGTGTCCCAAAGGGTACAAACATGAAGCCATGGGCTCGTTATTTCATTGGGTATAGATATATATCTATATATGCATTGTAATTTACATGTTAACATGCATCATACAATCATAGCCTAAAATTTATTTTACTCGTGGAGACAGTTTTGGATCAAAATCCGAAATTCTTAACGTACTTTTTCCTTATTATTGCAGAAGAAAACATCAACACATAAGTCATGCCAGCTAGCCTGTTCCAATTTCAGCCTTTTTAATACTAAACATTTTTAACAGCTTAGAAATATTGATTAATCTCAGTAGGAAGACCCAAATATGAAATTTTCATTGTGATATAACATATTTGGTTGTAATATATCACTTTGACGAAAACATTAATTTGTCCTAAAAAGGAAACAAACTCAAATGTGGTAGTTGTAATTTCGACCAAAAAAAAAAAGTGGTAGTTGTAATTCTTTTAATTTCTGCAGGTGCCAGTGGAGGCCTCTTGCTTTTAGTGTGGTTGGAAGTTTATGGATATATTGGGGTATGCAGAGAAGAAAGTTCATCGAACTCAAAGAGAAATACTTCAAAGAAAATGGTGGCTTATTGTTACAACAAAAACTCGCTAGTCAAGGAGGCTCTATGGAAACAACAAAAATCTTTAGAGCAGAAGAGCTTGAGAAGGCCACGAACAACTACCACGAAAGTAGAGTTCTTGGAGAAGGAGGCTATGGAACGGTTTACGAAGGAATATTACCAGACAATAGCGTGGTTGCCATAAAGAAATCAAAAGTTAATGGTGCATGCGCGGGCTCAGAGTGAGGATTTTATTAATGAGGTGATTATTCTTTCCCAAATCAAGCATAGAAATGTGGTCAGGCTCTTAGGTTGTTGTTTAGAGACACGTGCACCGTTACTGGTTTACGAGTTCATTGCCGAGGGCACTCTTTCTGAGCACATCCATAACAAAAGCACCCTAATTAACATCATCACTTTCATGGGAGCTGAGATTGAATATAGCGGTAGAAACAGCAGCGGAGCACTGGCATATTTACACGACCATCTGATCTCGTGCAAATTATCCACTGCTCTCGTGCAAATTATCCACCGAGATGTGAAAGCAACAAATATACTACTAGATGAAAATTACACTGCAAAAATGTCTGACTTTGGGGCTTCAAGATTGATTCCTCTAGATCAAACTCAGCTAACAACGTTAGTGCAAGGAACACTCGGATACTTAGACCCCGAATACTTCCTCATGAATCAATTAACAGAAAAGAGTGATGTATATAGCTTCGGAGTTGTCCTTATGGAGTTACTGTCTTCCGCCAGGCCCGAAGAAGAGAGAAACTTAGCAAGCTTCTTGTTTGTTCAATGGAGGAAGATCGCTTGAAGGAAATTCTTGATGATGACATCGTTAACGAGAGTGACATTGAGACGCTAAGAAACTTGGCAGAACTCGCAAGAAGATGTGTAAGGTTGAAAGGGGAGGAGAGGCCTAGCATGAAAGAAGTGGCAATGGAGCTCGAGGGAATGAGAGTTACAGCAAACCATCCATGGGGAAAAGCTCAAGTTTCAAGTCCAGAAGAGACTGAGTACTTGCTTGGGTCAGCTATGAATTCAGAGGCTTATTTTGTGGATGTTAGGTGATGGTAGTTCTAGAGATACAACTCTTGGTACAACCACTGGGTATGATATCATGCAGATCCAATTGGCCATGCCTGATGATGATGGGCGATAATGGATCAAGACCCAAGTATTACTTTGTTATCTTTCATCATTTCAATTTGTACTTTTGTAATTTGTTCCATCTGATATATAATTATATCAAGTAACAGTTTCTATTAAGAAATGAGAAAAATATATAGTTTTTATCAGAAATAGAAAGGGGAAGATCTCACTATACTATTGCTGATTTTTCTTATGGTATGAATATATGCCTGTGCTGATTGGTTATTTTTAATTGTTAGGCCGGCTCCCAATTCTTTATAATTAGACCGACAAGATTATGGAACTTTTAGAATCTGGTCGCCGCTAACAAACATTACTTTTACATGCAAGAAGTTGTCCAGTTAACACAAGAGAAACTAATTAATAAACTGCATTCAGCATAGACCATAAACGTAACTAATTGCTACATCAAAAGGATTTGTACGAAATTTTAGGGTGTGTAGCAGAGGTGTAGGTGGGGGAGACAAAAACAGCATGTAAGGAAATTGATCTACAATTGGGGACAATATCGGTGTTGCAAACATAGACAGATGTAAAAGAAGTTGATGTTCCATCTATGCAGTTGAACAAATGCTCTTTTGTAGTGAAGGGGCTGGTATTAAGGTATTTTGCCTCGGCATATGCCTTTGCACAGATGACTAATTATACCAACATTATATCAAGCATCATGTAATCTTTTATATCTTATGCAAATTCGAATTTATTGCTATAAACAGCTTTGATTGAATTCTTTTGGTACTTATACTTTATGTTTTCCACACGTTGCTGGTATAACTTCCCAAGCATTTTACGCACTACTAGGTAACTTGCTTTCTGGGTTCATAATCACTTAAGGAGAAGGCTATCAAAGTTCCCCTACATCTATAATTTGGCAGCCACATAAACTCTACTTATACGTTTAAGAAGTTAAGGGCCTGTTTGATAACTATTTCAATTTTAATTTTTAGTTTTTATTTTTTATTTTTCATTTTTTTGTGCTAGAGTATAGAAGAAAAAGAGAGAGAATGGAAGTGAGAATAAGAGTGGAGATGGAATTGAGAGGGGAGATGACATGAGAGGATGGGAGGAAGGAGTAACAAAAGTGAAAACAAAAACTTGAAAATGAAAACAATTTCAAATGGATTTCGTTTTAAGTTTTTGTTTTCACTTTTGTTAGTCCTCCCTCTCATCCTCTCCAATCTCATCCTCACTCTCATTTTCCTCTTTACTTCAGCAAAAAAAATGAAAACTAAAAATGAAAATTGAAATGGTTATCAAACGAACCCTAAGTTACTAAAGAAACAAAAGAAGAAACCAAGTTTTTTTTCTTTCATCAATTCTATTGCACAGATATACACCATGTTACTTGTATAGATGGTAAATTAATTCTTGTTTCGAGATTTACTAAATTGCATGGGGTATTCTGGTCGAAAGAAAGCGAATGGCATCTGTAAATCAGAAGGAAAAATACTTCAACCAGAAAAACGTAGCTAATCTTCTTTTAATTGACGGTTTCAATCTTTGGCTACGGCGTGCGACGGTTTAGCTACCTTTAGTGACGAAACTTAGGTCCTAATTTTGGACAGTAGATTTAGCTGCGGTTTTTATCGTCGCAAAGCGCTGCTAGAAGTGGTTCCCCGGCGGTCCCCAAAAACCGCCGCTAAAACTCGAAAACAGTTTTTAGCTCCTCCTTCGCACGGAGAGTCCGTATTTATGAAATTTTCAAATTTTATTTTGGTTGGTAATTTGAGAAAATTGTTGGGCACATATATTATTTGGTGTACAATTGTTGTGATAAATGTTTAAATACATATTTTGTTGTAATTGGGGGACCATCCAATAAGCAATTCACTCTAAATCACCCCATAATATCTTTCCTCTGCAGCTTGCATGTAATTGCCCACAAACTCACTCACAGGGATTTGCCTGCTAAAAAATACAACCATTGGAAAGCAAATGTAAGTCAATGTGTGGGCACATGAACATCAAACGCCTTGCAGCAAGATTTAGGGAAGATAGCAGAAATGAAGTTTAAACATGTTCAACTCAATCACATATGGTTAAGTATATGTTTTCCTCGCTGCAATACCAGTGTTTTTGTTCCTCTAAGATAATTAAGGAAGTATCTAAAACTAAATTCATAGACGATAGCTTAAACATAAGGAATAATTCTACCACTAAACTTTAGTAGTTAATACGGATGATCCACTCCCCAGACCATATTTAAGATTATAACCCTAACTTCTTGTATCCTTCTATTGGACCATACAGATAAAAACCCAGTAAGAAGGTAACTTCCATAATATACATACAAACGAAGTGTTTAACTGAAATTCAAACTCATAATTGGAGGCTGGAGCCCAGAAAATCAATCTAAGCCCCATAAAATTTAAAATGAAGTTTTTAAATGGATCAATAATAAAATCTACCTTGGATATTAGCCAAGCTTTCTGCAAGTGATTAAGAAAACTAGAGGAGCTTGAAACGAGGGTTTTAACATGAGTGATAAAGAAAGAAAAAAAGCTCGGCATCATGTGGTCAATTAATCCCAAACATCAAATACATGATAGCAATACCACCATTAGAAATCAAATGTATGTCAATCCATGTATACACAAACATCAAATACATTATAGCAGAAACGAAGTTTAAACACTTTCAACTCAACTGTATGTGTATACTATTATTTGGAATTAAGACATGACACTTCATGTAATGTTCTTCCCCTTTGATGTACCCTATGGCAACTCTTGGAATAAACTTTTAGATGCCTAAAATGCGTCACCAGGACATAGTTAAGTATATGTTTCCCTAAGATAAATGCGACCCAATCTTGAAATAGAAAACTTTAAATGAGGACATAATTAAGGAGGTATCTAAAACTAAATTCAAAGAAGATAGCTTAAACAGAAGGAATAATTTTTCCACTAATTTTTAGTAGCTACTAGAGATCAAGATTCCATTTCCCAGTACATATTTAAGTTTATGAGCCTACCTTCTTGTATCCTTGTATTGGACCAGCGTCGGATAAAACTTCACTAAGAAGGTAACTTACATAATTGGAAGTTGGAGCCCAGAGAATCAATCTTATTCCCCACAAAATTTAAAATGAAGTTTTCAAATAGATCAATAACAAGATTTACCTTAGTGATTAGCCAAGCCTTCTCCATGTGATTAACAAAACTAGATGAGCTTTCATACAACTCTACCACCAAAACTCAAATGCCAAAAACCCTTGAACCGAAGATTTTAACATGACCGTTTAAAGAAAAAAAAAAGCTTGGCATGCGGTCAGATTAATCCCAAGTTCTTTTTTTTCTTTTATTGGTCTGCATCACTCTACCGACTTGTACTCATACATCTCCATTGAAATAATTCACAACTGTTATCTCTCACTCTATTAGGCATTTCATCCCATCCAAAACCATGAAAACAAATTACATAAACCTTAATATCTTCGCATGAAACAAATCTTAGTTAAATGCCTATCATTTCATTTACAGATTGATATCGGATACTCTAAATAAGTTAAACACAGCCACAGCCAAAATCAAATTCAGTTCTTCAAACATATTGAGTTAGAATCCTACATTTACTACTACAACAAAACAAGTGGGAGTGAGGCTATATAAGCCTGCGAATATATATTTTTTTAAATAGGGGCAATTGCCGCCTACATTGGGTCCGCCATTAATGTGAGAAGTGTTAGTGGGTAGTCTTGTCTCTGTAGTTTCATGTTTTCGATCAACTTTTGAAAAAAGATGCAAAATTTGATATTTTACAGAGTGCGATGTATGGAAATAGAAAGAAAAAAAATGAAGATGCAATTTTCAACCAATTAGATATCCATTGTAAAATCCAGTGTTTACCTTCTCTTTAGTAACTCGACAGAGGTTTCCCGGCGGCTACGGTAGTGCGAGCGGCGACGTCGTCTTGGGAGTTAGGTTTAGGGATCCTCTCTTGTCGAATTGATTTGGGGATTTTTGCCGTTGTAACCGCAATCAATTTCTCTGTAGGCAATGGGTCGGGTTGTAATCAGATTTGGGCCATACGTGTGGTCTTTTTTCTTTTCTAGACATTCGACTTTTGACCCACAATATTGAAAGTCAAACTGTTGACCTCGACATAACTTGATTTGATATCATTTTATCACTCAATTATATTATTGAAATTTAAGTAATTTCTTGAAGCACCTTGTTCATTGATTTTGCTGATCTCAATTAGATGCATTAATGATTTCCAATTTGTATGATTTTTTGCAATGATGATCTCTGAATGAAGATTTGCAATGATAATCTCTGAATGAAGATGTGAAAAATAGATGATTTGATAGGTGAAAAAAATTTCATAGGATACCTAAAAGATATTCCTCAAATAAAATTATTTGAGGAATCTCTTAATAAAATGAGAGTATATATATAGCATGTATATAAAGTTTAATGTTATTTTCCATCCTTTCAATTTCTACTTTTGTAATTTTCTCCATCTGATATATAATTCATAAACTGCATGCAGCAGCATAGGCTAATTGCTACATCAAAAGGATTTGCATGAAATTTTAGGTGGGGGAGACAAAAGCAGCACGTGAGGAAATTGATCTATAATTGGCATTTAGTGTCTGGAAGTAATATTATTTATAGTATTTTCCTGAAGCCAGAAATTTTACGTACAATAAACAAATACATATGGGTTTGGAAGCCCATGAATGCCAGTGAAGAAAAACAGTCAAACCATGCAGGCAAAGGTTTCATCCCCTTTGACCCTTTTTCCATTACAAGCCAAGGCCTTCCAGCTCTCATGAAGTAAAAAAAACACATAAAAAAACCAATTTGAAGTCAGGATCAAGTACACAAATTTGATTTTTGGCCGGCCCAAAACAAACAAAAACATGTATGCTTTCTTCTTTATTATTGGTGTAGATTTGTCCTGGCTTTGTCACATAATAAAAGGACATGGGTCCTTATTTTGTCATGATCTTGTTTGGACTGTGAACCGGTAAACAAGAATTAGAGCCGGCTTAGAAAACTTCAACTTGGACTGGAAAAGTAGAGCGCACAAATTAGTACTGAGGAGGAGGAAGATACATTCCTCTTGAAACACACTGGCTTTGATTGGATTGGATGGCCTTACATGGGATTATTCTGCAACTCTTCTTAGTGGGATTGGTTGTATTAGCAGCTGCAGAAGCTCAAGCCTTGCCTGGCTGCCCAAACCAATGTGGAAATTTGTCAATTCCTTTCCCATTTGGCATAGCTAAAGGCTGTTACCTCAGAGATGAGTTTTTCATTGATTGTAATGAAACCAACCAAACCCCAACACCATATTTGAATGGAACTGGGATCCCAATTTCCAACTTATCCCTTAATGGTGAGTTACAAATAATGCAATTTGTAGCCAGGGATTGCTATGACCAAGATGGTTCTTTAGACACAAAACTCAGCAACACCCCAAGGCTCAAGCTTTTCCCTCCTTACACAATCTCCGGCACCAAAAACAAGTTCATTGCCGTTGGTTGTGACACTTACGCAATCTTCGAAGGTGTTCGGGGTAAAGAAAAGTACATAACTGGGTGCATGACCTTCTGTGAGAGTCTCGGAAGCATTAGTGAGTCTTGCTCTGGCATTGGGTGCTGTCAAACTTCAATCCCAAGTGGACTTCAAGTGCGTACCGTGACAATGAGTAGCTACTACAATCATACATTTATATGGGACTTCAACCCCTGCAGCTACTCCTTCATTGTGGAAGAAGGCCAGTTTACATTCTCTAGTAAAAGTTTCCAAGAACTGAAATCTATAAGCCGGCTTCCGATGGTTCTCAACTGGGCAATTGGGGGTGAACCATGTGATGCAGCTCAACATAGGCAGGATTATGCATGCAAGGGAAATAGCACATGTGTCAACCCCCTCAATCTGTCTGGTTATTTTTGTGAATGCTTGCCAGGTTATGAAGGAAATCCATACCTCCCAGACGGTTGTCAAGGTACTGATTATGATCTCTTATATACATCTAATTTGATAATTATGAGCCTTAATTATGTGTTTGCTAATGGAAATGGATCCTCTGTTATTTTCAGATACCGATGAGTGCCAGATTTCAAACCCCTGCAGTGCAGGAGCGTGTGTAAACGTACTTGGAAATTATTCTTGTGTATGTCCTAAAGGTTTCAAAGGCGATGGAATGAAAGCTGGAACAGGTTGCAGCAAAGACAACCACAGCAATCTTTTTGAGGGCATTCACTTGCTTACTATTTCATTGGGTATGCACATCTGGTGAACTGTTAAAATGCATCCTATATTTATTTAAGTAGATTATTATACAAAATACTTATGAAATAAAATCTGGTTGTGATTTGCAGCTATGACAGTAGCCTTGTTGGTTTTGCTGGTTGGAAGTTCATGGACTTATTGGGGAACGAAGAAAAGGAGGTTCATCAAACTCAAAGAAAAATACTTCCAAGAAAATGGTGGCTTCTTGTTGCAGCAACAACTCACTAGTCGCGGAGGATCTGTGGAGACAATGAAAATTTTTACCGCAGAAGAACTTGAGAAGGCTACAAACAATTACCATGAAAGCAGAGTCCTTGGTGAAGGAGGATATGGAACAGTGTACAAAGGAATACTAGAAGATGACAAAGTGGTTGCCATAAAAAAGTCCAAGATTTGTGGCCCCGCTCAGAATGAGCAATTTGTTAACGAGGTGATTGTTCTTTCTCAAATCAACCACAGGAATGTGGTGAGGCTGTTAGGTTGTTGTTTAGAGACGCCGATGCCATTGTTGGTTTATGAGTTCATCATCAACGGGACTTTGTCGGAGCATATTCACAACAAATGCAGAGAATCTTTACTTTCATGGGAGCTGCGGTTGAAGATAGCTGCAGAGACTGCAGGAGCACTGGCATACTTACACTCCTCCACTTCCATCCCAATCATACACCGAGATGTGAAGACGACGAATGTACTACTAGATGAAAATTACATAGCAAAAGTGTCTGACTTCGGAGCTTCACGGTTGATTCCTCTAGATCAAGCTCAAATAACTACTTTAGTGCAAGGAACACTCGGGTACTTGGACCCTGAATACTTCCATTCAAACCAACTAACGGAAAAGAGTGACGTGTATAGCTTCGGAGTTGTCCTTGCAGAGCTACTAACAAGCAAAGTGGCACTTTCTTTTGCCAGGCCTGAGGCAGAGAGAAATCTAGCGAGCTTCTTTGTTTGTTCAGTGGAAGAGGGTCGCTTGAATCAAATTCTTGATGAAGACATAGTCAATGAGGGAAATATTGAGACACTTAAAAAAGTGGCTGATCTTGCAAATAGATGTTTAAGGGTAAAAAGGGAGGAAAGGCCTACCATGAAACACGTGGCCATGGAGCTGGAGGGGATGATGATTATGGCAAAGCATCCATGGGGAAAGGCCAATTTCGGCCCAGAGGACACTGAATACTTACTTGGGTCAGCTTCAATGGCTTCTGTTAGAGGTGACAATTGTTCTAGTACCGGTACAACTACTGATGCAACTACTGTGTACGACAGCATGCGAATCGAAATCGAAATGTTAATGCGACACAACGGGCGATAGCTCCTCGACTGGTCAATAGTGATGTAATGTAGGAAATCTTACCAATATTAGTTTGTTTTGATTTCGAGACAGTGCCTCATTTAAGAAAAGGGCATATCAGAGTTCATACTACAATGTACTGCGTTGTAAAGTTACGTGGAAAAATAAATTCTAACAAGAATGAGTGAAGATTACACAAAACTACTCAGGCACCCATGAAATAAAATTAAAACACAGTATATTTAAAATCCTGTCAGCTCAGCTTGCATTTCTCATGATGGAATTCGAGAAGAAAATTTAACAGGAAAATGTTGCTGTCTACAATATATGAAATTTCAAAGTTACACATTTCGGGAAAAGCAATTAATTTGCCAGCTCAATCTAATTTGTTTATTCTCAAAAGACACAAGAATCACCTAGATCAAAATCCTTAACCTGTTCATTACAGTGAAAACCATTATCATGAACCTTGCAATAAAATTTGAAATAGAAATACAAGAGAAGCACAACCTAATCAAATCCCTTGAGGAAACTAACATAACCATTGTTGTAGTGAAGCTGAAGGTTGAAAAATTGCTCCTACTTGAGCAGCAGGAGATCATCTTATCTGGGTAGGAGAACAGAGCAACCCAGATGCATCCGCTCCAACCACTGCAAGATCACAAACAGTACAGAGCTGCCCTTCTTGGGCCAGAACAAACCGAGAACTGCAGTACGGGCATGAAACATCCTTCTGCCCACGGTAAATAGGCACATATGTTGCACCACAAACCACAAATGGGTTTCTGAAATCGTAATTTAGCTGGGTTGCATCATTCATGTTCTTCTCGGCAGCCTGGAGGACTTGTCTTGCAGTCTTTGCATGGTTTTCAGTGGTGGGATTGGTCTCCAAAAGTCGCCTGGCAAAGTTGGCTGCTGTGTTGAGATTACCAGCCTTAAAGCAAACACTCATGGCATTCAGTAATGCAAGTCTCAAGTGAGGCGTCTGAAGGTTACAGTGGGTGAAGTAAGCTGCTAGCTCCTGTTGGCGAACGGGATTGTCCTTAAGTTCCCTCCTCTTAAGCTCCATCTTCAAACCCAGAACATACTCCTTCACAATGATAATTAATTCTTTTACTTCATCAACCTCTCTCCTTGAATCAACTACAATCAAAGGAATAGTATGCAGAATACCAAGGAGAAGTCGTAAAGCCTCTGTAAATTTCCCCGTAGTTGTGGCCTTGTAACCCGCCTTAAGCTTCTCTTCCAGCTCTGTGAATTTAAACACAAGAGCAGGAGGACCCCTAACATTAGGAGTAGCTGACTCACTCCATCCCCTCTCAACAGCCACAGAGATCACAGGAGCTGACGAGAAGGCACGTAGATACGTATGACTGCCCATGTGTAAGTCAAGAAACAATTGTCTTAGGGGAGCAAAGTTCTTTATACCCAGCTGCCGGTTCAACAAACGCATTGCAATATCGAAATTCCCAGCCGCTGCATGTTCAGCAGCAAGAGATGACTTCTGGGTCCAAATTTGACTTACAGGCATACCAGGAGTTGGGGCAACAAACACAGAAGAACGGGCATTACTTGCAGTTTTGGGAGTATCAATCTCAGGTGGAAGTTCAAGATCTTCAAGATCCCATCCTCCCTCCTCATTTTCCTCATGTTCTTCCTCATCCTCCAGCACTGCACTGATGTCTCCATTTGGAATGTTTTCCACGTCAACAATATCCAAATCCTCTCCCCAATCAGCATCTGTAGCCTCTTCATACTCTTCCTCTGCATTCCTGCCCACATTATCAAGACCACCCTCAAATATTCCTCTCATAACCCTCAACAAGGGCCAATCTCCACCACAGATGATTGGGGTTGGAGGCATCAAAAGAGATGGAGATTTCCCCTTGGGTAAAATCGGAACATTATCTCCCAGTTCAGCTGCCAAACGTTCTGCAATATCATGGAGGCCATGAACTACAGCTGTGCTATAAGCAAGGGGTAAATGACCAGCATTCTCCAATATCTTAACACGCTCTCTGATGTCACCCAAATATAGAGCATTGTGGAATTGACCCATCACATCATTCTTGACTTCAGCAATTTTCAGCATTTTGGACAATTTATCCAAGTTTCCAGTCACAAGATAGAGGAATGATAGCCTCTCAAAATTCTTTGTCTTCTGATATGCATATTCTACAATGCCTGCATTACCCTGGCGAAGGGCCTCCACTCCCAAACGATACCAGTGATCTTTCTCATCAATTTCCTTGGCAGAAGCAACAGCAATCTGGATGTTTCCACTCCCTAGTGCCAAGTTGAAGCGAGTCCTTTCATCCTTCACAAAATGAAGGGCAACCTCAGGGAAACCTTTCTGCTGTAGATATGCAATCATGGCCTGGCCACAGAGCTCAGAGCTCTTAATCATGCTCATAACCTGGTCATACCTCTTCTTCAGTAAGGATAGCTTGAAAACATATTCTGTTGCATCAACAACAATGGCACAGTTCTTCCCATCTCGATCCAAGCAATGGATGGTGCTTCCATACACTTTTGTTATATATACTGGAACATCTAGGGTCCTGATGATTCCATTGTCCCCATTGGGAAGGCAGTATTTGATGTGGTTCAAGGTTGTATATATGAAAACGCCATTGTCATCCCAAGCTCCACTCTTTACACGAATTGTCTCATGGAGAGTGCACTGATGCACAAGCTTCTTGTTGGCTATCACAATAGAATGTTTGCTCAGCAAAGCAATGCTTTCCATATCGTTTGACCAAACAACATACCTTACGAAAGGAGTTTGAAGCTCCCCAAGAATAATTCTCTGCTGCAGGTCAAAAATAATAACTCTGTCCTCTGCCCTGCAGAGCAAGTTTCCAGTTCCAGCATAAAATATTGCATCAGCAACAATAGGTAGGGCACTCTTCTTGACAATCTCATTTTTAAGGTTCTTAACTATAACTTGATTGCTGCTCTTTTCAAGCACTGCAAACCTATTCCTAGCCACGAACACAGCTGGCCCTCCAATTCCTCTTTTTGCCTCCTGCACAATATCACCCCGGCCAAAGCTATCTTTGGGTATAATGTATAGCTCATAAGAACCCCCTTCTGTTTCTGAACATATCAAAACAGCATTTTCTGTAGGGCTATAAGATAGTGTTTTAGCCCCTTGATTCAAGGTGGAAGAACCAGGCCTTCGAATAGGGATAACCTGAGTGTCTCTCTGGGTAGAGAACTCAAAGAAGCGGAGAAAACGGTCTTTAACATAGAACATTGAATCACCACTAACAGAAAAGGCAGGACGTTCTCTCTCCAATTTAAAGACGATCATGCCACTATCATGACCAGCAGCCAAAAGGTTCATTTCAGGATGTGCTGCAAGAATCCAGAACCTATCATGCTCTCTACGAAATGTCTGAAGACCAGTCCGTTTTGTGGCATCCCAGACTCGGATGCTTCTATCCTCTGAATTGGACACAATAATATCCTGCCTTGCATGGAATAAAACACATGATACATTGTTCATGTGCCCCCTTAAGGTGTCCACCTCCCAAGCCTTTGTATCTGAAATTGGAAAGATCAACAGGTGACTATTATTACTAAACAGATTTCTGTAACTCTAATTTTTCCTTCTTTCTAAAGCGCACACACTAGAAGAGTTTTTATTTTTTACTATTAAAAGTTAGACCAATAAGAGCTTAATTGTCCAATGTATATGCACATAATATTTACCAAGAAATATATAAGCACACGTACAAAAGCAATTATGTGGCTTTCTTCAGTGCTACTGAACAGGCCATGAATTAACTTTTACGAAACAAGGCTTTATTAATAAAAGGAATGTACAAAATTACCAACAGATGGTTGGTATTTGACAGAACAATAATAGAAAATTAAGTTAAATGACAATTTGGGAGCTAAAAACTAATCTATTGCCCTCTCTTCAACAACATGAAACAATTTACCCCAATGGGTTACCAATTAAAACGAGAAAATAAAAGAAAATGTTAAGTGTTTTTGAGGTTACTATATCGTGTACATGGTTGCAACTTGCAACAGAAAGGCAGATCTTCAGTAGGATGATTAAAAAGCTAAAAAATTAGTCTTTAAACACCTAGTTTCCTAACATATGCTGTGTTTGGCATCATGAACACTGGATTACTTCTTTTTAAAATATAATATATAATTAAATATATAATTATATTTAAAAATTCTTACCAGAGTTGGATTTAGCTTTTACAAAAAATTAATTAATTAATTAATTAATTAATTAACAAAATTTCATTCAAGTATTCTAGCCTACTTTTGATACTTGAAAACAAGAAGCAGATCCATACACATTTTTGTTTCTTGTTAAAAAAATCTTTGGAGGTGCATACTTATTAGAATGTTTATTTCACAGGACACCTGAAACAGAAGAAAAAAGGCATACCATTCATTCGCCAAAGTTTCACTTGTCGATCGTCTGCTCCAGAGACGATCAGAGGGAGTGTGGGATGGAATGATGCCCAATTAACACCCCGATCATGACCTTCCAAGACATACTTCACAACAGCATCAACTCCACCAAAGAAATCTGCATTCATCTGACTCAGGCGCAGGATGTCATCTGCAGGGGCAACCGTCTTTTTCCTGAGGGCACCAATATCCCAAACACGAACAGTTTGATCCAAGGATGCTGAGACAACAAGATCCTCCTTTGGATGGAATAAGGCACACATGACGTAATGGTTGTGTCCAGTGAGCACAGAAATACAAGTTCGGGACTGCCAATTCCATATTCTGATTGTCTGATCATCGCTAGCACTGACAATCCATGGGTACTCATGATGGAATTGAACAGTGCGTATGTAATCAAGGTGTCCAAGAAGTGTAAACAAACACCTATGCAGCTTGTAATTCCACACCTTGATCTTGTAATCATCCCCTGCCATTTAAGCTTAAACAATGAATTACTTCCTTCCAGGATCTCTTCGGAGTCAGCAGCGCCATCATGTAATAAAATAAAACTTACAAACAAGTAATATTCTTCTCAGCTTGATAGAACTTGGAAAAACACAGGTACCATATTTAAGATTAAGAAATATATGGGTGAATAGTCCAGATCTGACTGTTTCTACACGGCAAAAAGAAGAACCTAATAAACTAACATTTCTAATGAATGCAATGGGAGATGTGCAAGAAGGTGACACATAATATTACACAAAACTAACATGACAGAATAACATGCAATATACCAATTTCATATCAAATCTAAGCACACCGTGAAAACAAGAAATCAAGTGCTGAAATTTTCAGATGGTAACACGGAATGAACCAACAGAAAACATAAAATTTTGAATTTTGATGTTATACCTCCAGAGACGAAAAGCGGCTGAGAGGTGTGGAAATGGACACCACGTACAGGGCCATCGTGCTCGTCAAAACGGTCGATGAGAGTGCCCATTCTGTAATCCCAGAGCTGGATCACACCGCTGTGGAGACTGGCCAAGATCCATGGCCTCTTGCTGTGAAAGCTCAGCCCCTTCACTCGATTACTCTTGGTCTCGAATTTCGTCAGCATCTCAAAACACAATTGAATGCCCCCTGATTGAAATCAAGATCAAACAACCGACACCTCTTTAATTGATTGAAACTCAATTCAGCAATACAAATCACGTCTCAAGGCTATCCAATTGATAATACTTTCAATCTAATCAATTCATTGTTTTCTTATCTATTTTATCAGCAAACAATCAGGGGAGGTGAATTTCGAGATTGAACTGATACGTATAAAGAAAGAAAGAGAGAAAATGTACCTCAGATCTGGTAATGCGGATTGTTGATTAGTCAAGCGGCGATACGAGATGATGGATTTGTTTACGATATGATAATGCACTGCAATCCAACAAATCGTCTAATGATCCAGACAAATTTTCTCTTCTTTTCTCAGAAGCCAATCAGCAGGTGAGAGAAATTGGGGGAGAGAGAGAGAGGCTCAGATCCGGGAATGCAGAGATTCAATCATATGAAGGCTAAATACATCAAAATTGCAATGCCCAGAGAGAGAGAGAGAGAGAGAGAAGAGGTCACTACAAAGCAGTCAGTGACCTTGCAGATCTGTTTTGGGTTTTCAAGCAAAGCTCTTTTATTTCTTTCTTACTTTCGTTCGTTCTTGGTTTGTCTTTCGTTTTTTGGACAAGGTGGTCACTGGTCACGTTTTATTCAATTCAATTCCTTGAACCTGATTTTTAGGCTTCTTTTTCTTTTATAGGGGCAATGGTCTACGAAAATTGATTTTTCTCTATACATAAATCACTTATTTTGAATTTTAATCGTGCATGGTGAAGAGCTAGCAGCTTGAATTATAAGCCTTCCCTTGATCTATTGAAGTGTAAAGTTATCAAAGTTGTAATAGCCTTTGTTAGGTAATTTTTATTTACATGAAACTTGCAACTCACATCGTGATTACATCCTCTTTAATGTTAACTTAATCTCGAGAATGATGTGATGAACATTAGTTTGTTTTATGTTTATTCAGAGAATTGTGTTATTAGGACCCAATATCTCATATTGAAAAACTATACATATCTTGAGATGGCTTAAGAAATCTCGAGCAATGTTTCTTTACAAGCCGATTTTTATAGGCAAGTTCTACCCGTGGAGTATTATCAAATTTATCTATTAAAATACCATTGAACTAAGAGGTAGCTGGTGTAAACTTGTGTTTAATTAGGCAGGATCATTTCTGGTCAGGTATAATTCTATGATTAGGTAGAATCATGTCTGATGAGGTAAAACCGAATTACATGATTAACAACATGCCGTGCGAATTAATCTCTTCGTATCCGCATGACTGATCAAATGGGAAAAATAAAGCATGAAAACGTTAGCTATGATGGTGAGGGAAGTTTGGAAATGAGATTAGGATTAGGAAGAGCAGAGCAATTTGAATTAGGTACAGAAGCCAAAAATACATACAAGAATGAAAAGATTTTGGTAATGATGATCAACAATTGAAAATAAGAATGATGCAATAATTACGGTGGTGATGCCATATATTCCACTGGTAAGTCCAAAAGTGAACAGCTTTGGATCTCAACAACAGCAACAACATATTTACCAAGCTTTGTAAAACATTATTATTGCATTTATCAGATTTAAAAATAAATAAAAGAAAGAAATGCGAATGGCTTCAAAAGAAAGAAATGAGAATGGCTTCAAAAGAAAGAAATGATTATTCAATAAACATTATCAACCTACAACACCAGTTTAATCCCTATTTTGTCCCCACCATTCCACCCACCAGCTTGCTTACCAAATTTATATAGTACAATAAGCCAAATTTATATATTACAACAATCAAAATTGCATCATTTGCAGATTTCAATACTAGCTAGCTGGTACGTGTTCTCAAAAATGGCAATTCTACCAAAGAGAACAAATTTGGGAAAGGTTGCGCGGTAATCACCTCACGTTCGGAACCTGCCTAGCTTCGATATCCTTAAGTCTAAGGGTTACAGCTCTCTTGTGAGCCTCTAGTCCCTCAACTTCAGCCATGGTTGCCACATACGGGCCAAGCTTTTGCAAACCTTCCTCTGTCAAAGACTGCACTGTCATGTACTTAAGGAAGGAGTCCAAAGACACACCACCATACATCCTCGCATAGCCATATGTTGGGAGGACATGGTTTGTCCCACTCGCATAATCTCCCACACTCTCTGGTGTCCACTGTCCTAAGAATACAGAACCTGCAGGGGAAAGATATCAAAGTTCAGATATCTAATCATCTTATTTCGACGACCGGAAGAAAAAAGTGTGATGCATGCAAAATGCACAGGTAAATAACAAATTAGTGATAAATGGCATGACACTAAAAAAAATCTACGTTCGCAATCATCGCCAAAGTTAGCAGCAAAAGGAAAAGGAAAATGAAAGAAAGAAAAGGACAACACTGTCAAGTAACAGTATAAGAGTAACTATACCCGCATTCTCAATGAAACTCTCCCATTTTTCTGCATCCTTGACATTGATGATCAGATGCTCGGGTGCATATAAGTTTGAAAAATAGACTGCCTGAAACAGCCACAATTATGTCTAGTTTCAGAATCACGCAGAACTTCTCAAACAACATACAAGTAAACAAAAATGAATGCATGTACACTTGCACATTCTAACATAATTTTCTTCATAAAAATACGAAAAGAAACCCTTTCCTCATTGTGATTCCAATGATGTTTTGGTGATAGACATGTCATATTAGGATGCAAGGACAAACCTCAACCATATCACGAGCAAACACTGTGAAACTGTGGCTCAGTGCTTTTGAGGCAAACTCTCCCCTTGGTAGGCTTTGGCACTGTTTACTGATTTCCTCCTCTATAGCTTTAAAATCCACACCATCCCCAGCAATTACAAGAACAACTTGACTATCAGGGCCATGCTCAGCCTGAAATTGCATTATTTACTCATACATCAGGTTGGCCACAAGCATTCCCAAATACCATATCAAGCATTTAGATTTCATATAATGCACTAAAATTTCTGCAACAAATAACAAATGTGCCTTATTATACTAAAATTCATATATTCTATAGTAAAAGCTAGATTTCTAATTATAGGGGAAAACTAAATACATAGTACTCTTGCCTGAAGCAGTTCAGTAAACTGAAGTTGATTAATATTCCAAACAGTAAAGGTGCAAAATTGTATTTACTTCAAGCAAAGACATCTGAATCACAAGTACCTAATATGATTATGTTTCAATTCTAAATGTGGAATCTAACTGGCAGGAATATTGGAATTGGTTTTAATATAAACAATTAAACGAGACCTGTCATATTGTAACACTTCAGGCAGGATGCACTTAATACCGTTGGATTTTACCATTACGTCACAGCAGAAAAAATGAACCATAACAGAACAGCCTGAACCTTTCATTATGAAAGTGATCAATCACAAACTTAAAGAAGCATTGCAGAACAAGTAAGTACCTGAGAAAGCAAATCTGCAGCTATATGAACAGGACTGGCATGTTTGTCAGCAATGACCAAAACTTCTGAAGGGCCTGCAGGCATGTCAATTGAAACCATGGCTTCGCTGTTCTGTTAAGAAAATTAGAAAGGCGGGTAGGAAGTCAAATCAAGATGGTAAAAACAATAAATCTCCCATAACTCCCATTTTTCAACTTCAACAAAAGTTATGAAAACAACTTCTAATAGTAAAAATGTGTACCTGGAGAATCATTTTTGCAGCAGTGACATATTGATTTCCAGGGCCAAAAATTTTTTCAACCTGCAAATTATTTGAAAACAAAATTAGATACAGAAAATTCTTTTATGAAATTTGAAAGAAAAATTACAACATATTAGCTAAGCTAACTTTGGTCCTCTATTTTTATTCAAAAGAAATCATGCTCAGAGGTTCAGAACCCGAGTTAAAAACTTAGCAACAAATTTAAGGCCTTAGCACAAATATCTGCATAAGTTACGAAAATCATAATAACAAGATAATGGGAAACTAACACCTTTGGGCAAGATTTGGTACCCCAAGCCATAGCAGCTATTGCCTGCAAAGCAAAAAATATTGTCAGATTGCTGTATGTAATGAAGTATATAAGAATACTTTCGGTGTTTATAAACCTGAGCACCACCAGCTTTAAGGATGTGAGTTACACCAGCCTTCTTTGCACAATATAGTACTTCCTGAAGGGCAAAACAAAAATGATCAGCTCTCATTTAGGAATCCCCTCATAATGCATTCCGTCCAAAGTAAAGAATGCCTGGCACATACCTTGCATATGGTGCCATCCTGACTTGGGGGAGTTGCAAGAACAACAGTTTTACACCCAGCAATCTGTGCAGGCTGGTACACATGATAAAGCAGAAGTCCATCAAATCATTGCAACATAATAATCGATAACCATGATAAAGACCACAGAGAAACTTTTACAACAAATATGATCAACTTACAACTGAAAGCATCAGAGCTGTTGAAGGTAAAACTGCAGTTCCTCCTGGAACATAAACACCCACAGAACCGATGCTTCTCGCCACCCGTTTACATTTGACACCCTAAGAGGTTAAAGATACGTAAAGGCTCTGTGTATATAGGAAGAAGCAAGCTACAATATAGGCTTACCTTCATGTTCTCAACACTTTTCTCAACTGATTTCTGAGCAAAATGAAATGCATATATGTTGTCATATGCCACATCAAATGCTTCTCTAATAGCTGCATCAAGCTGCATGAGGAAGATATCAGAATTGAAAACATAAATAAATATCTTGTATCTAGAAAACATGTCTAAATAGCAATACCTCTGGATCTGGAAGCTCAGAAACTTCTACGATAATGTTATCCAGTTCTACTTTGTCAAATCTTGCAGTATATCTGTGTGAGAGAAAAAATAAATAAATTTTTTTTATAAAAAAAATTACTTTATTAGTAAAATTGCTGCATAAACAAACATGTTCATTAATATAGATAATAATAAATCAATAAATTAATTAAAAATAATAATCAAAGAAGTACATACTCCTTGATCGCAGCATCGCCTCTTTTGCGAACATCATCAACTATTGGGTTGACCTAACCAAGTACAGCTACTATAATTCATGAGCTACTTCATTTATGAATATAAATACCCCAAAAAAATGTCTGGTTTTCAAAGAACAGTCAGTATTTGGGAACAAAAGAAAAGCTCACCGTGCTAAAAATGGAAGAAAAATCAATTCGAGGACGAGCTTTCAGGCTTTCAACCTCTGGTGGAGATAGTTCAGACAACCTGTAAGACTTCATTGAGCAAGTTGTTCCCTTACAAGCAAACCCTAAGCCAACAGTCAACTTTAGAATATCAGGGAAAACAAGTACAAATAAGAAATAGCATTACATTTCTGGGTCAGGAAACAGATTCCAAAGCTTACTCAACCCACAGGAGTTAACTTGCATACATAAGCATCTATCATCTACCGCATAACTTGCATATATGGACAGACAAGCAGCATTTATACATAAATTTACCTTTTAAGTATAAAAACGTCTTTTATTGGGTAAGTTTGCACACTTTATTTGCACAAACGCAAATATAGATGAGTCAACTGACATAAATCTAAACCTCATTAGCTTTACACATCTGAATAACTTTATAGAGGCTTCGTACTTTTCAATCCAACTGTTGACCATATCCTAATCATGCCAACGATTTCACCAAATTTCAAGTCAATCCGATACTGATTAGCACTGTACTAACTTAATGTATAGTACAGATGAAAAGGTTAAAGATACCAAACGGCCTTACAATTTAAACATGTATACGAAAAATACCAACTTGATACAATACAGATGGAATGCTTGGATATATTCAGTTTACTTGAAATTTAACATATATGGTGAAAACAACTGAATTATATTCGATGGTTAGCAGAAACTAAGTAAAATTCACTCTTTCAATTGAGCATTATATTTTGATACCACAATAAAAAACATGAACCAATCAATTCATGAAATCGAGCAAATGGTGGCCTCATACCTCGTCGAAGAAAAAGATTTGTAGTTTTCGGCGCAAAGATTAGAGGATGATATTGTCGTTTGATAAAACAATGACTGCTGCTGCGATTAAAACATAGAATCTGACTGTCCATCACCGCCTTCAATCAGACCAACTCAATTAATATTAAACATGCACGAAAAGAAAAAGAAAAACATTCTTTGTCTATTGTTTGGCTGGCGAGAAACGGTAGAGAAAAATTGACCATTCTGAATTTGCGCACGGGATTGCGAAGGAAAGGTGGGACAAGTTAAGATTACCTGCAAAGTGGAAAGTAAGCGCGACGGCGGTGACTGACTGGAAGCGTATGGGTAGCTACTGCTTTTACTTAGCTAAGCACAGAGTGTGCGCTTGGGTGTTCGGCCTCTGTTGTCCAGTTGTGGGCTGGAAGTGGTAAATCCAAAGCCGGTTTAACCGGCCCAAACTTTCCCTCACCCGCTTTGATTACGAATTTAACCCAAAGCCGAAGCGAAATTACCCTCTGTGGCAAAAAAAAAAAGTGTACAAACATAATTTTTAGGTGTTAGAAATAGTTTTGTAGTTCTTTTCTTTAATTTGATAAAAGAATTATTTATTTTTTTTAAAATGGGTCAAATACAGAAAATTACCCAAATGATGGGTGTATTTTTTAATTCATACACGAACTATCAATCATTCGTATGTCTAAAGCCGACCAACAAAGTAACTGGAGGAGTTCAGATTTTTTTTATTTTTTTAAAGAAAAAAAAAAAAAAAAAAAAAAAAAAAAAAAAAAAAAAAAAAGAAGAGTGCAACAAGGGGTACAAATGAGTCATTCCATTATATAGGCTTCCTAAGCAAAAAACTAGTAGTTGTACAACTTTGTATCAAAAACCCTTTTTACAATATACAAATGAATATGTGAGAGATATACAAACAAAGCTTGAAGCAACAATGACACACTGAGATGGAAAGAAGAGACTGAATCATACAGAGATACTCCAACAAGTACTATATAATACTGTATATCAATTGGCATGAACAAACACTGCAGTTTTTCTACTTTGTTCTCTGTCCGTAACTGATTCAAAGCTCATGGACTGTCTTGAAATTCAGTTATATCCTGGAAACTCTGCAACCTTTTTCTCCTACTGAAACTCGAATTCTTTCCATAAATAGAACCCTTCCCAGTTGCCTCCACAGAGTCAGAGCCTTCAAAATTCAAAGCCTCCTTTGGAACTGGTGATGAACTGATGTAATCTACTGACTCTTGCTCCTGCTGCTGACCAAAGCACAAAGAACGGCGCACGGTAGAATTCCTTGATGAAGCAGCATTTCCAGATACATATTCATCTACAAGATCAGTGGATTGAAGCTTTTGGCCCAAACTTTTCATTTGACTTTGTAGACAAGGACTTTCAGGGGTTATGTTGCAATTCAGGTTCTCATTGTTAAACCCATCTTCAGTATTCCAACTATCAAAATACTCAGTTCTTCCATTCAGCAATTCTTGTTCTTCTTCTTCAACCATATCTGCCCAACTTTTCTTACCCTTACTGTACATTGAAAAATCAAGGGCCGACTTTTGATTTTCTGCTACAGGTTGATGGACATCATCTACTTTACTGGAAGTGTTCTCTCCAAAGCAGTCTTCCACAAAAGCATTCCTCCATTCCATGCTGCCTAAAACAGTTGTATCAGAACTCTGATTCTGACCTCCATCAGTGGAAATTTCTAGTGCTTTTGCATCTTCACCTACCATTTGTGGTTCTGCAGATTTCTTCATACCACCATTTTCCCAACTGGTCCTTCTCCAGTCTCCATTCACAGTATTCTGGGAAGAATTGACCACCACAGCTTCATCTTTCAGTTGGAAACAGCCATCATTTGCCCGAGAAGTACACTTCCAATTTCCACTTGATTTAGGTTGCAAAACAGATCGTACTGCTGCATCTTTTTGGGGCCTCTTCCTCAAATCTCTGCTAATTGGTGAAGTAATACTAGATACTGAGTTTTGAAATGCCACTTCTGACTTTCCAGTTGTTGAAGCTAGCAAATCTTCATTGAGACTTCGAACAACATGTGCTCGCATGTTTTCTGGTCTTGAACATGGCTCAAATGAAAGTTTTTTATTTGAACTGCCAACACCACGTCCCCATATTTCCCTAGTCTGATGTCCATCATTAAATCCCCGTGAAGATCTTCTTGGTTGTGTAAATAGAACTTCTCGATTCCATATATCAGGAGCTGGAGAAAAGAATGTTTTTGAATATGGAGTTGTTTCTGTTCCAACTTTACCACCCTGATTTTCCTTCATTCTGCTGGAAAAACTAGACCTGCCCTCACATGAGTTTTTGAAATAACAATCTTTCTTCCACTTATTAACAGATACAGTCTCTTCTTCATGTCCATCTGCCCATCTTCTAGAGATCATGCATCCAGAAACATAATGCTGACCTTCGTTTGTGAAGCTATTAACTTGTTTCGAGTTTCTGTTGATGGGTGATATAGGAGATCTTGAAATTTCTTTGCAGCAGTTTTCATCCAGTTGAATTGGTCTTAAAACTGATTTTGCCTCTAGTTCAGTCAGCATCTGAATTGCACGCTCAAAGGACTTAGCGTAAGATTCATCCATTGGTTTATTTCCAGATGAAGCTCTTACAACTTGAAGCAGAGATTTTGCTTCTGCAAGTCTGTTCATGTGCATCAAGCAGATTGCTAAATTGCACTGCTTGTTCTTATCCAGCTCCAATGACAGAGATTTCCTGAGATTTTTATGGAATAAATCATATATATATATATATATATATATATATATATATAAAAGAAAATATGGTTTCACATGTAGGAATATAGAGAAGGATGCAAGAAAACTTACATGTAATATTCTTCAGCAGTTTTGTAATTACCTTGCTGCAAGTAAGCCCAGGCCAAGTTTCCTAGTATTCTGCATTGATAAAGGACCTAAGTCATCTAATTATGCGCAAAAACTTTGTGGTAAAATTAGTAAGAAGAATGAGAAAGCTGTGATATTCACCTTGATCTCTCTTGTTCAACAGTAATTTGAACCTTTTTCCCCTGAGATCTTGCGGTCTTTGTCCTCCTTCCACCAAAAGCTATACCTTCGTCAATGTGTTTCAATTTGGATTGAAGCATTTCAATCTCTTCTTCAATCCTCCCCGCCCTCTGCAAAACCGGTAAATGTAAATAAAAAACTGAGCAATGCATAAACATACACACACACACAAAAAGAAGTTTGATATACCTGAAAATGTTTTATCATGATAGATATTCAGAAATGCATCTATAATATTAATCATTCACTCTTAGCCTCTTAGTCACCTCAACATAGTGTGAAAAAAAAAAGGTACTCAGATTTGAGCTCTAAACTTTCTAAAAGTGCTGAACATCACTTGTAGACTACTTTTATATCTCCTACAGTGACGGAGTTAAAGCAGCATATAAAAGTGCTAATGAAATATAAGTAACTTGTTGAAGAAATGGAGGTGCTTTTACCTTGTACAGTTCAACTAACACATTGTTAAGAGATTCCTGAGAGTCATGCGGGCAGAGATGACGAAAAGATTTGATAGCTTCAATTGCCTCCTCCGATCGATTCAATTGTTTCATCACAATTGCCATGTCTTTCAAGGCACTATCAACTCGATCCCCCGCATTTATAGCAGCCCAGAAGAGGGATATGGCTTTGCTTGGATCCTTTTCTATCAACTGCATTTCAAGAAATGAAAATTGATAAAATACATAACAGTAAAAAAAAAAAAAAAAAAAAAAAAAAAAAAAAAAAAAAACACCAACCCAATTAACCAAAAAAAATTCAAATAGTTAAGTTTTAAAGATCAATTCTAGTAACTTTTATCAGAACTCCAAAGTGTGTGATCACTAAATCTTCATGCATGCTTTGAGTTATACATTTACCCAATACTTCCCAGCCCATTTAAACAGTGATTTCACAGGACAACCAATCAACTCAGCTTGTATTAACAAGAACAAAACTCAGTCCATTTACTCACACAAGAACAAAACTTCATAATTCATTTCCTTCTTCCTTGTCTTAACAAATTCCCCAAAACAAATGGGTCCAAGATAATCTGCATTAATGTAATCAACAGAATTGGTAATAAGTTCTTGCTTTCCATAAAAAATAAGTTGAGTCAGCTTAAGATACAAATCCCAAAACATACAGACCAATTAACAACAAAGGAAGACAGTGGCTAATCTTGAAAAAGAACCAAACGAACACTGAATGCCAAATTACTAAAATCAAATTTACCCATAAAAATTCAAACTTGCTTACCTGAACTTGTTTGGCTCTGACGTACGGAGAATCGCCAACAGGCACTTTATGCATGACATGAAAAAGATCGCCTCCGTCTGAAGGCGACACTCTCTTTCTCTCCGACATTGGCACCATCGGAGGGTTTGGCGGCCCTGACTTCCATGTCGGAGGCGGCGTCGAGAAGCCTCTGGTGTGTAAACTCTTGTCTCTGGTCCACATTGCCTACTTTGAGAGAAAATCTATAAAATTACTCAGGAACAAGTCAATTTTCTCTAGAAAATCTTGAGACCCTTTTCTTGAATCTCCAAGAAAGTGTTTTTAGTATTGAGAAAAATGTTCAGACTCGTTTCTTGATCGAGCAGAAAGCGTCTTCTTGTAGAGGCAAGGAAAACCAGTAGTTTGTCCTGCCGCGAGATTGTTTATATTATTATGGGTTTTCTGGGAATTGGTGAGAAAGTGGGAGAAATCAGAGAGAAAGTGAAAGAAAAAGTAGAAAGGTGAGCGAAGGTGAATGAGAGAAAGTAGACGCAAAAAGAAAAAAGAAAAATAGCCGTTTATTTATAATTACTAGCCGTTGGGATCAGGGACGCATTCGCACGTGTGTTTGGCACGTACCAAACTGGGTTTTTTCGTTTTTGTTTTTGGGTTTTTGCAGCTTTGGTTGATATAATAAGAACTGATCGATGAAAACAAAAACAGAGAAAAATATTTCATGAAAAGTCATGGTTTTACAAGTATTTATTTAATGGATCATATAAATATATATATATATAAACCAAAAACAGTATAAATTTGTTTTAAACAAAAGTGAAATGCTATCTTTTTCTTTTTTTCTTCTCATCCCGCAACACAGATAGTATGATGATGGTAGTCATCTATACTTTATACGCCACCATTAAAGATCATCTATACGAAAAAAAAACATGAAAAATTTGAAAATGGTTAAATCATCTAATTATTTTTAAATAAAACTAGCCCATTATATTGATTAAACACTCAAATTATAACAATCAAATCAATATTATGAGATGGGAAAGAGAAGTAACCACGTTAATCGGACCGTGTCGTGTCAGGCCTCACTTAATTGGGCCGAACTTGTGCAATGTTCGAGTCAGCTCGGTCTGTTTGACACTTCTAAGTAACATGAATCTAATGTAAAGTTGCCATAAAACAACTCTATACATATGTTGGAGTTTTGTATATTGAATTTAGTTTGTGTTCTTATTATAGAGAAATGTGATAGATTGCATTCATAATTCAAGAGTCGTCAGCCATAATGATCAATACAAATAACCACATATGGTTAATACAAATACTGAAGCACAATAACCACAAATGATTAATCCAAATATGGAAGCACAATAACCATAGAGGGTTAATCCAAATACAATGGCAAAAAAAAATTAAATAAAATAAAATTACACCGTCAACATGAAATGCACAAAGTATACCTCCACTCATAGCCACACATAGCCAAAAAAATTCAAGCATAAAAGCCACAAGCCTGGAAAAACCAGGCAAAGGCCTCAGCATACACACACACACACAAACAAAAAAAAACAAACAAAAAGACCAATCTGCCACCATACTGTCCCCAAGATAGCCAAGCAGCTAACAAACTCAACCAAGATGCCCAAACACCAAAATCGCCAAAAGCTGATAGAAGCCCTAGGGAGGATAGGGGTTGAGGGAACGAGAGGGAAAAGGAGGAGAGGGGGGAAGATCTGGGAGTGGAGGGGAAGGAAAGGGAGTAGTAGAGGGATGGAGGACACCAACCCCAAGGGGGAGAGGCTACTGAAACTTTTCTCACCTTGGTTTGATTGTTAGTTTCTTTCCATTTTAGGCAGTACATTCTAAATTGTAGACAACATCTTTTGATAATAAGTAATATGTAAGTAGCTTGTAGCTCTCTTGATTAAGAACATTTACCTCCACACCTGAGATCCTAGTTCGATTCTCCTCTTCCCTCAATATAGTGCGTATATATATATATATATATATATATATATATAATAAAAGATAATAATTTGATACTGTTTTTACCGAAAAAAATATTATATTATTGTTAAAGATATCGTTACAATATGCAAATACACTCACAACGAAATTATATCATCACCTTAAAGTTAACAATAATTAACTATCGAACATCACAAATACATATACTTTGATTATCCTCCTAATTGATAAAAAATAATCACTTGACAGAGTGATGTTCTACACTACTCTAATGTACAGGAAGAGTGATCAAACTCGGATAAAGAGGCTGAGTACACTGTCTTGCCCAACACTTCTTGTTGATCAAAAATATCAACTTTTATGACCTCGACCTCAGCCACCACCCCAAACTCTCTGGATCCCAATAGCCTCAGCTGCCTCAGCTATTTGCATCACATACTTCTGTTCTCTATCATCGGCCCGACACGCTCGCACACGCGGTGGTTGATACTCAAACTTGCGAGCGCATTGCGAACGAAGAGCTGGCGCAGTGTGGGCGACACTATGACGCGGGGAGGCACAATGAGGCTCTTTGTGGTCAACAATGGAGAGACCACGTCATCGAGCAAAGTGTGGGACGCGACGTCGTTTTGGTAAGTTAGGAGTTCGAATTGGAGCCTCTGCCTCGTGCGGATTTCAAAATTGGAGGTGGCGCCTGTGGTCTGTTGTGATGAGTTTTGGTTCTTGAACGAGGACATGCGAAGGTGGTAGCTCAACTTGAACACCATTGAATTGATGACCAATTAATAGTTTCTTGAAGCTTTAATTTACTCAAACAGAGAGAGATCAATATTCAAAGATAATATTGGCTGTGAAGTTGAATAAGAGAGCAGAGCTTTGCAATATATCGAATGTCCAAGCCCTAAACCTAGTTATGTTTTAGCTTGGAAGATTAAATAATCCTATTTCAATTAGGAAATTAAGCCAACCATGTTTAATTATTTCATTCGTTTATGAATCAATCATGTGAGCTCGAAATGCGTTATATGATCGGACTAATATGATTAGTCATTCAATATAGAGTTGAATCTGCTGAATGCTGTGTATTATTTGTAAACTTATCTTGTATCCTAATCCTAATACATTTAGATTTCCTTGTAATCTAAGAATTTTTGCGTATCAAGTAGGATTAGGAAAGTCTTAAATTTCCTAGTAATTTTAAGATTCTTGCGTATCAAGTAAGATGAGGAAAGTCTTGTATATGTTACTTGTTTAATGAAAGATTGACTAAAAGTTACAGGCATGCAACTTGAGCTAAAAGTTACAGTCGATTACTAATTTAACATGTCAATTGTTTCATCATGTAAATATATGATTTAGTTAATGCGAATATAAGTAACTAGCTAGAAAATTTGAAATAATCATATTCCAATTAGGAAACCCACGGATCCAATGTTTTTACTTGGGAATTAAGTAACCTTCCGAAAATAAATGTCGAATTTCGATGCCTTTTAGTACAAATAGAAAACCACTCAAACAAGCTGATATATGGTTTGTTTAGTCAAATTATTGTGAAACTGAAAATTCCCATGGAAGCAAATGACATCTTCCACAAGGGCCACTCAAATATGAATCAAGATTGAGACAAAAATTACAATGCGTTCCTACTTTAACAAAGAAATTCCAATGAAAAGCATCAGATTTTCATGGAGATTTTAATACACTTCTACTTCTACAAATTCAGCTCACAAGATGCAAATCACAAAGCATAAACAGAGGGATGATATGAAATATGAGAAACTGTTTTCCAGGGAAAACATCTAAAATTTTGCCTGAAGACTGCTAATTACGGTTTTGTCCACCTGGAAGGACTTGGCCAGAATATCATCTGAGATTGAAGGATTGGCTCCAAAAACAGCGTTGGCAATGGTGTTGACTCCAGGGTTTTGGCTGCTCAAAGAAGAGAGTGAAACGGCATTTCCTTTTCCCACATTCTGCTGGAAGTGAACTAGCCCAACAGGGAACACAAACACATCACCCTTGTAAAGGACCTTTGAGATGAGCTTGTTGTCAGGGTTTGAGGTCACAAAGCCAACATAGAGGCTGCCTTCTAGGACGGTCAAAATCTCGGTGGCACGGGGATGAGTGTGGGGAGGGATAACACCCCATTTTGCATAGTCGATGCGAGCCAGAGAGATGCCGAGGGTGTTGAGTCCTGGAATTTGAACCACATTGACTGGGGTGACTTTTCCACCAACAGGGTTTGAGGTGTTGCCTGGGATGTGAAGTCCACTGAAGAAGAAATGATCAGCCTGTGCTAGCTTGGAGTCCAAGCAGGGTAGCCCATTCACTCTGGTCACTGTGATGCACAAATTTATTTGACAAGACAAACACACAAAGTTAAAGTCATTGGACGATTAAGTATAGGAAGAAGAAGAAGGATACATATTTTCAAAATGCATACCAAATAAATCGAAAATTTTGAATTTTCGACACCAACCTGAGCTAGTAGTGTCAGCAACACAGAAATCTTGCAAAGGACTAGGCTCAAAAGCAATGACCAGAGCACATGTCATAGCTAGGAAAGTAGTCATCAGAAGAATTTGGTTTGCCATGTTAATTTTTCAGCTTTTTCTATGAGATTATCAAGTTATATATTGCAAATGAAAATTTGAAAGTAGTGAGAGAGAGAGAGAGAGAGAGATGTGAAGCAATTGATGTATGAACTTTCTTATTTATAGAGAAGCAAGAACTGGGTGATGGTTCTGAATGAAGAACAAGCAAGCATATAAAAGAAAATGCTGCCGGCCTTGCTTTACGGACGGTGGAAAAGTATTGAAAGTTCTGGTAAAGCCAAATGTTAACAAGGAGGCACAGGCACATCCATTAAATCCAAAATTTGTTCAAGGATATAATCCTTTCTTAATTTTCTATTCCTTGTGTGAATGTGATGTGAATTTAGAATTTAGAATTTCTTCATGCATACATATGTTAAACATATTAAGCCAAAGCATCTTGCTAAAAATACATCTGGGTCCAATTTATTTGACTTGGCTTCAAAGAAGGATGTCAAGAATTTGTAAATTGTAATAACATCTTGCTAAAAAGACGCAGAAGCAAGCTTATAGAAAATCTGAAGCACCTTTTTATTTTCTTTTTGTTTGCGCACCTTGCTCCGGCTGGGGGCTGATATGGTCAGAATTATCAGTTATATTGCCTTATATTTTTGTCCACTTGCAAGACCAAGTCAATGGGAGAAGGATGATTGTTAATGTAACTGAATTAACATTATCTTAGCCTGAGGCATAGAGGAACTGGCTACATCTGCATATGTAGGGTTTAAAACATGTTTTTTTTTCCTTCTTATCTTTTCCGTGTAGATATGAGAATACGCAAATACATTCTGCACCTACACAGCCATGCATGATCATATAAGAAAAATTCTCTCATGCAACTCTGTAAGCCTAACAGGCCCCAGACAACAAAAAAATAAGTCATAACGTTGCATAACATTGATTTGTCAGAGAGCATATCTAAGACCTATTACCTATTTCTGAGAATAGATTTGCTCAATGCCATTAATCCGCAGTGAGCATGACCACCACATTATGCGTTAGTGGATGAGTTTGATTTAACTTACCAACTCATCAAACAGCACATAACGCGCTGGTAATCTATTCTCCTTAATCCCTATTGCTAGTTGTACTATTACATTCCCATATAACTATGTCATAATGTTCCAAATCTGCAAGTTGGAAGATCATCTCCCTGAGGTAAGGATCCCCCCCTTCAAAACCTGGTTTTAAGTCAGACAGATCCACCGAATCCAGTTCTAAGTCAAAATAAAACATTGTTTCATGGGCTCTGAAAATGCTGCACGAGTGTCTCAGTTTGTCAGAGCAGATCTTGAGCTATCGTTGCTGCTCCATTCCCATATAACTTTGTAAGGATGTTCCATATCTGAAACCTCTGGAAGAACATCTTCCTGACGTACAGGTCCCCTTCTAAAGACAGCAATCTGGGAAGCAAAACCTGGTTCTGTATCACCAGATCCCCCAACCCCACTGAACTCAACACTGTAATTGTGCCTCATGGCCAATTCAGTTGCCCAGCAATTGAACTGTTCTCTTGTCCACTCGAACTTGTGGTCATGGTTACGAAATTTACATGATTGTGCTTGATTTTTGTCTTCAGGATCATCTTCCTGGCTTGACAAATTGGATTTCTGGAGTATCACATTGTATTCATAATTTGGAGTGGAGACAATAAGAACCCTTGGACGAAATAAACTCAGTACCACATTGCCAAACTCAGATGCTTGATCTTCCTCCATATGCTCTATGACCTATGATTTTCCAATCAGAGTAAGCAACAATAAAAACCAATTACTAAAGAACAGGGACATCATACTTGATTTCGGTGCAAACAGGAATATTTACAGGAGGCATAATCTGGTAACAGTGATGAACATTAATGGCAAGCCAGAGCATGTGTGCAATTCAAAGGCTACTGGCCAGTTTGCAGTTACCCAACATAACCAAATATCAGTGACATTGATAAGCATTATGTAGCATGTAGAATACTAGTCTTCAAGTAGTACTAAAGGGGAAAAGATGAGAACAGATAAAAACTTGTATAGTCAAATTCAACTGCTAAGACTATAAAAGAGAAAGAAACCTTAGACAAATTGGCATACATGAAAAGATAAATTGAAAGGTAAATAGTAAGGACTGAGTATGAGACTTAAATAGATACAAAGTAAAATAAATCAATCAATCAAAGAGTTTGGTGTCACTTTGTTTTTTTCTTTTAAGTGAAAAATAAATAGCAATCTTCTTCGTAAAGCCAGGTCTTAAAGAAAAGAAGAAAAAAAAGGGTAAGAGGTTACCTCTAAGCAAGTACCAATATCAAATCCACTCAATCGTGAATCAAAAGCTGTAATTGAACCGTCGTACAGAACTGCAGAATTTATGGCTGACATACTGGCATCTAATTTGGAATGAAGTATCTGCAATGTTAAACAGAAAATTTAGATTCTTGTCTAAGACAAGTGGTTAACTAAACAAACTTTATGGAAGAAACAAACAAAGAACATCATCTCAAATCAGCATACTCCGTACAGAATATTTTGTTTCTTGTACCCATTATGACCATGCAAACAGGTTCACCCAAACGAAGGATCCTTTATAATAAAGTAAAACCACTATTAATGTTCGTGACCATAACTTAGAATATTACTTTTAACAAAGTGAATCACAAGTCTACCAGGAAGGTAAGATGTCACACTGATTCCCTCAATATTTTGGCTACACCGAAGCTTTCTGGTGACAAATTCCCTACCTAGCAACTACCTATCAGTATTCGTCCTGACACACTCATCATATTATTTCTTCCATAAATGCTTACAAGCAAAATTCAAAGTTCTATAATGGTTCAGACCTTTGCCGCACGGGTAAGACTCTTCTGTGAAATGTCAACACCAGCAATTTTTTCCAGAGAAGTTGGATAGTTTAATAAAGAATCCAACAAACTACCAGAGCCACATCCAAAGTCAACCTGCAACGATTACAAAGGGCATGAAATTGACTCTATCACATACACCAGAGTATTATTATTTTTTTCTTTTCAGATTGATAACAAGTTTAAAGTCAGAAGATTTTAAAAACTAATTTACCAAAGTAGTGGCGCAAGATTCTTTGATGCTTTGCACCGCATATTCGACACGCTGTTTTGAAAGTGGAGGGCTGAAAAGAGCCTGCTCCATTCTATCCTCCAGAGGTTCTGTTACCTGCAACAAAGTTATAGTGTACTCCAAGAAGCAGGTCTCTGAAGAACAGTAACACCCAAAAGAAATGAATCACCTGTAAGATCTCAGTACAAACAGTTTTTAAAAGAAATATAACAAGAACAACATAGGTTCAGTTATTGATGAATATTTTTTTTTTTTTTTTTTTTTTTTTTTTTTTTTTATCAAATTGCATGTCCAAATTGTCCAAGTGAAATCCTTTTTGACAGCCTGAATGAAACATCATGCATCTAATTGTTTCTGAGAAACTCACTTGAAGACAACAAGGAAAGCATCCTAGCAGAATCATCAGCTGCAGCTAAAATCAACTCTTGATGGGGCAAATCCATACTGGAAAAAGCAGACTGACCAACAGTCATTTGCATGACAACTGTCTCGAGATGTGGAATCACTGCTCCAGATGCTATCTCAAACTCAAAGTCATCACTACTTTCCAGAAGTTCTTTCTTATGTTCATCTTCAGTCACCAAAGATACGGAATAACTTACAGATGATAAGGATCCATTAGATGGAGTAACACCAGAATCTGGTCCTTCTATATTTAGAGAACGAAATTCATGTCCAGGCAGAGCATATGACGCATTCACATTATGAATATGTTGGCACAGCATAAATACTTTAATAAAGTTTTGGGGATCAAATCTAATGTTAAGACCATCAGCAGAAGCATTAAGTCTCTCCAAAGGCACAGTTGGATCTCGAAAATATGCATTTAACCATAACAGAACTTTCAAAGAAACATTCTGGATGGAATCGCTCTGTTTCTTAAAAGAATCTTTCGGTGAGCACTCTAAAATAAAATCCTGAAATTTAGAAACTATTTTCACTTCACATCTAAAGCTACCTCCGGATTCAACCGAGTCCTTTACGCCAGCAGCAACAACACAGCCATTTGCATATTGTGCCTCTTTGACAGGCAAGTCTGTCACCTTTAACTTCTTGTGTGATTTTGGTGACTCGGATGATTCTTCTAGAGTGCTTTGAGTAGAGAAGACGGGTTCAAGCCGGTGCTGACGGCAGAATGTACAGAGCATCTCCCTTGGAAAGGAACCCTTCCATTTTGCATTGGTAGTAAATGCCAAAGGTAACTCAGCTGCAAGTATTGCCCCTCTGGACAACTTGTAAATTCCACCTGGTGTCTTGCCAATGACCATCCTGTAGACTTAGATTTAAGTATGATTGAATAATGCAATGTTGTACACTTTATTAATGAATGATGCAGCATGAAAAAGGGAGTAAGGTTCCTCTTTTCTTTGTAACTTTTCAGGAATAGTTAAACATTATAAAATAAAATAAAAATACTAAAAACACCGAAGAAGTGGATCTTTTCTTCCTTAAGAGAAATCCCAAATCCCATATGTTACTGAAGTGTGTCAGAATTTTGACACAATCAAGCACTGACAACAGAAGAATCCTTAAAAGAATTAGGGAAATTAAATTTGTGGAGAAGTCTTTTAAACAGAATATGAAGGTGAACAATCAATATAGGATAAGTCAGACAAGACCTGTGATATGATTGCAGGGTTACATCTTCATAGAAAAGGTCTTTGGACCTCCACGTGTATCCAATGGATGCTAAAATAGCGTCACCATATATATCTTGGCCAGACAAGTAACTTGCTCTTGCATTCAAAGATCCTTCAGAGTTACAAGCTTCTTTGGCATTTAGAAGATCTGAAGACATATCCAACAGATATTGCTTGGGAGCAGCAAAGTACAGTCTTGTCTCAGAGGAAGCCTTACCTATAGGCCTGTCAAAGAATTTGTACCACACATTAAGCACAGAAGGTTACAGAGTCAACAGACTGTCCTCCCAGATTTTTCCCCATTATCCCTTCCACATACCTTGAGATCAGAACGTCAGAAGCTTTCGATAACCCAAGTTGTTTTGCAATAACATCCAGGAAATATCCAGAAGATGAGACATTAAGGATTACTCTTTCAACAGTCTTCTCTAGTGAAGATGGTACTTTTATGGCTTCAACTGAAAAGATTTCTGTCGAACCTAATTGCTGGATAGATGATGACTCCACTGTTTCAGGAGCATATGGATTTCGCCTCCTAAACCAGAGCTCTTCCTCAGAAGTAGAAATAAGTTCAGATAATCTAGCAGCAGCCCTCACAACATAAGGTATAACCAAGAAAGGATTGGACTCCACCTTAGGATCAAGGGATTTACACATATTACAAAGTGTTGCATCAAAGATGGCAATGACAGAAGCAGGAATCTGCCCAGAAAGATCACCTTCTCTCTGCAAAGCTGCTCTGAAGTGACCACTCAGCGGATGAAGAGTTGAAAGGAACTACAAAAGTGAAACATACGAGAAAAGGTCAAAGTGATAACTAAAAAATTTCAACGCATCAATAATCTCATAAACTTATAAAGCAATCAAGGTCAAGAAAAAGTATATCAGCTAATTCACCCTCTTTTCCACATAACCACAGCAAACTGAGGCATTGACAACAAAAGCAAAATTACAAGTAGAGAAGAAAGTGAGAGAGAGAGAGAGAGAGAGAGAGGTAAAGAAGAATTTGACAGAGTAAACACAAAAAATTAAGCATGTGTTACAACTGAGTGATTTAGGGACTAAGTTTTAACATAGAAAAATGCTATTGCATACATATTGGACAACAACCAGGATACAATAAGCAGTAAGTGCTTCCAAATTCAAATTATCAAAATTCAAAGAATAACAGGAATGCTAGGTCAAAGAACAAGTTAATAGAATCTTGTCCAATTAACTGCAATTAGACAATCGATATAGAAATTAAGAAATATGGTCATCATATACTTTTTTATCAAATTAAATGTAAACTTTTAGTTATGTGGCAGAGCATAATTTTAACTGTTTACCAACCTCGTCTGAAAATAAAAAACTGACACGAGCGACTAAATCATCCCATGCTTCCTGCAGAGAAAGGCTTTTTGTTGCGGGATTAATGCCTAGCTGCAGCAAACAAATTAACATTACTAACCATATTGATAAAGAAAGAAAAGAAAAACACTTAGTCTTGGAAGCAATACTTTGATAATGTATCAATTCATTGAAACATGTTAAACCCTACATATAGTAACATTTTGAAGATGTAGAACATGAAAAGCAGTTGCCTCCTAATTATGGTAACAAAACTCAAATATAACTAAAACTTTTATTTTCCATATCTGGCCAAAGACAAATCTCAGCGCAAGAGCCTAATTAGCTGCCAAAGCAGGACAACTGCTCATGCCTCATCATACATGAAAACATATATATGCAATTGACAAACAATCATATTGAATATAGACAAATCAAATGTCCAGATTAAGATGGGTGATGTCCAAGCAACATTGAACATTGAACAGAATTTCCATGCCTTTATGGAAAATCACCATTCATGGGAGTGGCAATAACTGCGACTACATCTGGATAGTCATCCAAATACTAGATTCTACAAAAGAAAACAAACCAACCTTCTCTAAGGCCAATTCAGCAGCAGATTGCTCAGCATCCTTCTTCTTTTTAAAAATTCCAGATACAACCGTAACTTCTGGAAGCTGCAAGGTACAGCGATAAAGGCAAGGGCCCTTCTGCATAATGGCCAACCCTGGACATCCATTTTGAGTGGACTCATGCACTTCCTCTACTTTATAGCAGGCTGAGCTACCAAATCTTTTGTGTACAATAGCCTTAGGTGTAAATGTAGTCATTCGTGCTGTTACAGTTGGGGCTCCTTCAGTAACTATCAGTATCCAAGAGGTCTTCAACTATAAGTTATTAAAAACACGTTTGATAGGATGCCCTTTACGCAATAAAAACATCAAGGTTACAACTCAGTAGGACATTTTAGAAATATTTTATAGGTAGAAACTGATACATAGGTTAGTGAGTCAGGCACACGCACGTGTAGATGAAATAGAGTGACTAAAATTGTTAGTTTGCCATTTTGTAACCACAACCACACTGGGGTAAATACTTGTCATTTGGGAAAATAGTTTTAAATTTTTTTCAATTTACCTTAGTGATCTCTGTCTTCCCTAGATAAAAAAAAGAAAAACGAAAAAAGAAATCCACAGTTAAGAAATACGAGGGAGAAGCAAGTTATAAATGTTAATTTGACCAGTTCATTCAATGACAAGATTTCCAATTAGGTAACTATGACCACTGTTGTAAAAGAGGAATGAATAAGCTCCAACTTATGAGCACAAATGCTAATAACAGACGTGACAGCAAGAACAACAAAATCACATTGCATCATAACTATAATTGGTGTTAGGACCATGAAGTTCATATAATACCCACATTTTTTTTTGGTAACAAACAAAATAATTTTATCACCTTATCATAAAAACATGCACGAAGACAGTGAACAAGTGTGCACTGAAGTTAGAGGAAAAAACCTTTTATATCCTGCTACCAAACAGCTAAAAATATATGCGATTGCATTGCAAAACAGCTAAAATGGACAAATCTTATTGGAATGAAAACCAATGGTTTCCAGACTTTGGAGGAACCTATAGCCCATAATTCTTAATACAAGACACTGTAATGATCCCTAAGAAAATAAAACACACCCTTCAATTGATGCCCATATAACCTCAACTCAGTATGCAATATCTGGCTCTTGCTTATCAGTCCTAAACAACCATCCTAACTATTTTAGTTTGAACAAGAAAGCAAAGAAAGAAAAGAGAAAACCCTTTGGATGAGTTCAGCCCAAGTGATAAGAAGCCAAAAACAAATGGACAGATTAATTACAAGTCAATACATTTGAGTGAGCTTAAAAATGTTAATGCTGTCATTGTGAATGATCAACCTATCAAAACCGAAAACTTGACATTGAAAACAAACAAAATATATACAGATAATCTTTGAATTCATGAAAAATAAAAAGCAAAAGAATTTCCGTCCTACATAATACATCTGCCGAAAATAAGGAAGCAGTTCATTTATTCTTTTCTTGTGTACCTCAACTTGGACAGTAACCCATCCAAGGGTAGCGAGTAAAACTTCCAAATTACAAAACAATAAGCCACCTTTTGATCACCAACGTTAAAATTCTCTTCATAATATCTAGTCGCTCGGTAATCATATAAGAAAGATCAGAAATTCAAGATTCTACATATGAATAATAAAAAAATTAAATAGCTTTCAGCTAACCAATATGACAAAGCAATGCGCAAAGCAAATGGAACAAAAACTGCGCAAGTAAAGTTATGGGTTTTAAAGCAAAAAGACTAACCAAGCAAATAAAACAGCAAATCAGCACAGAAAAGTTAGGAAACAGCTGGAATTCGTTCAAAAATTGAAGATAGAAAAGCAAGCCAAACCCAGATAATCAATGGAATATTTATGACAAAGGCAAAAAAAGGTGAACAAAGCAATGGCAGACAAGAGAGGGCAAGATATGATCAAAGGAAGGAGCAAAGGCCGTACCTTTCTACATTAACATCGGCAATGGCTGAAAGAGAGGCAGAGATCAGAGGGAGCGAGAGAGAGTGTGTGCGTGCGTGCGCGCGCGCGAGAGATTGAGGCTTTTGGGGTTCTACAGTGTGTTGTACTATAACCAAGAGTTTTGTGTGTTGGGGTTTTTTGGGTTGGTAGAAACGGTATATAAAGAGAAAGGAGGGAAAGGTTTCGGAGGAAGAATATCAACATGAAACTTGTATATGCCTATATGGGGGCCCCACAGGGTCATCTTCTTCTGGTCTCTCATAGCTTCCTTGCTAAGGAGTGATGCCTTCTTTCAGTCATATTGACCTTTTCTTTTCTTTTCTTTTTTGGTGGCTTTGGTGGATGTTCTTTCAATTTACTTAATTTCAGTTATGTTTTTTCATTTTTCGTAATGCGATAATTTAAACTATATACTAATTTATAGGAAGAAGATTCGAATTCATGTGTAAGGGAACTGTTACATCTTCTTAGTCAATTGGCATAATTTAAGTCTTTTTTTTTTTCTTTTTTTCTTATAAATAGGAAGGGAAGAAAGATTTTCTCACACACGCTGCCAAAATATTATGAAATTAGAATTTGAGAAGATTTGCCTACACGTCAATGTTTTTTTTATTGAGTTAGACCTAATCGGCCATAATCCAAGTCTATGAGTCCTATAATTTTGATTAGCACTATCTATCAAGTCTCCAAAATGTTTGAAGGCCCAAACACGGAAGACCTGCTTCCAGGCCTATTACATACCCATTTCCATAAACACCCTTACCCATTCTCTTTGAGCTCTCTGGTGCCTTTGTATTTTTCGTCGACTTCTTATCCTCACAAGGGTTATTTGTGTGAATTCTGTTTTTACACTATTTATCTCCTTGATCCAATTTTACATGTCGACACAAAATTTGTGGTACAAAAGTCCAATGCAACATTTGTATTTTCAAAGTGGGAAACAAGAATCTTCTTTTTTCTTTTCGGTAAAAGAACAAAATCTGAAACATCAAGGGAATATATTCTTCTTCTTTTTAATGCATATGATTAGGTTTCTGAGTGGTTCTTCTTCCTTTTTTTTGTCCCTTTTTTCGGAGGAAGATTAGTAGTTCAAGCATGGCATGTTATGAAGTAGGGATTGCCTATACAACAAGGGGCAATGTTCGAAAAATCGCTAGGCGGTAGGCAGATAGCAGAGGCCTAGGGCCAGTAATCTAGGCTATGCGCATTTTTTTAATAATTATTTTGTATTATAAATTATAAATTTATATATACATATATATATATATATATATGTGTGAGTCATATTATAATGCTTTGATATAAAGAGGGTTGAAATAAAAACACAATTAGGTTATGTTTTAGTATATGGATAATGGGCCTAAGCCCATAAGAGAACCTTGTTAAAATATCAGCCCACAAGTGAAACACAGCATTTCACTAACCCTATCTTCAACTTTTTTTCGACGAACCCTTATCCTCACTTGCTCTCATCTCTCCGCCTCCATCGCCTCCCATCTCTCTCTACCTCCATCGTCTCTCCTCTTTCTCTGCCACCATCATCTCCTATTGCGCGCCTTTGAAATAAGATAAACCCAGCAGTAGCCAAAAAGAAAAGAAGAAAAATTGAAAGATACCTCTGACGAGTAGAGAAGAAGCCGTCGCTGCCACTGGTTGGGTCGAGAATAGTAAAGAACCAGCTACCCGACCTGCCCAGGCCCCCTAGGCGAGCGCCCTGGCGCTGCCTAACTCCCTGGCCCCTACCCCTAACGATTAGGATGAAATCGCGGCGGTGTCCTTCCGCCTAGCACCTAGGCGCCGCCTAGGCGGCCGCCTAGGCCGATTTTTCGAACACTAGTATACAATGGCAAACAAGACCACAACTTGAATAGTTTCAAGGGATGAAAACATCAATACTTGATTGGATTTCAACCAGCAGAAACAAATGACTAGCAGCACACAGACAACATGATATTACAGTTTTCCAATATTTGGACATTTACAGACTAAGTCTCATTCTTGCCCGAGTAATAATGACGGAAAACGCACGAGAAGTCTTCGGTTTCATGACCATCCTCACAAAGCTCTGTATATCTGCACAACACGTCAGTTTAGTTTATGATAATTAGATATGAAAGTTATGCGAGCCACAGAAATGGGCTCAGGAAGAAAGAGGGAATGAATTACATCTCTTGTGCTTGGGATGTCAATGGGCATTTAAGGCCAACCTCTTTGGCTGATGTTGCACCAAGGTTTAGATCTTTAGCCTGCAATTTATAGAATACAATCGTCAGTTCTCATCTCAGTACCGTGAAAAATGTTTTTGAGGACTCGAAATTTCATGTAAGGCTCATAAGCAATGTGTTAAGGCCTGCAGAGATCAAAGCGAAAGAAAACTGCCCAATGGAGAGCATGTCTGACAAACAGGATCGAACTAACTAACCATAAGTTTCGATGCGAACCCACCATCATAGTTCCTCGACGAGGGCACCCCTTCCATCACTCCAGGAACTGGATTATAACTATCACTGTGATCATGCATGCATGCCATGTTTTCAGTGTTACGTATAATAAACCAATTTGAAACACAAACCTTACCCAAATATGAGCCAAAGCCCGAAGATATTCCCCATATATTTGTGTGTGCAGGTATTTTTGGTAGAATGAGAGCATGATCCTTTCTCTAACTGTGTAATTGAATACTATTGAACATAGATCACAAGAGTAACCTTTATGTGACTACAAATATGCAAAAGTTCCCTAAGCTACAATGTACGGTGTATTTCAACAATACCTACTCCAACAGCGACCACTGGAAGAGTTGAGTACTCTTGTCAAAGTACTGGCGGAAATTCCCAGAGACTGGCCAAGGGCAAGAGATTCTGAGACACCAAGCATACTAATAGCCATTGCCAAATTATTGCAGATCTTTGCTGCCTATATAGCAAACAAGTAAAGATGTCAAATACTCTGCAACAAATTAGTAGCATGAAAATTCTCAGAAAGCTGAAGATATAGTATTTTTGGTGCAGTAAAGACATGAGAACTTACTGAACCATTTCCCGGTCCACCACAAAAAACTGTGTTCTTGCCCATTGAAAGGAATAAAGATTTTGCAGCCAGATAAGCGTCCTCAGAGCCACCAACCTGCAGACATGCTATCTCTTGATCATGATTTATGACTCACAAGTTAGATATCACCACCCTAGGTACAATTCCTCCTCACCCTCTAAAAGCATATATCCTGTTTATGTGCATATGCTAGGAATGGCAAGAA